GAATTCCCTCCTAGCAAAGCAAAACCCACAATCATTGCACCACAGTAGGGCTGCTAAACCAGAAATGGAAGCCAGACACCTCAATGAAGAAATACTGGGTAGAGAAAAGGTTTAGTGCACTGAGCCTCCATGTGGTGCTAAAACTCTGGGTGGCTACAGCAGCCAACATTCTGGCAGCTGCTAAAACCACCATTGGAGAGAGCCTCCTTCTGAGCCTCTCTGAGCAGTGCTTGTGAAATATACTCAGAGTCAAGAGTGGATTTCATGCTCTTTATTCAGCTCATAGTGGTGAGGAGGAATGGAAGTTCCCTCAGAATGACTGCTTTATATACATTATTTACACAATGGGCCCCACGTGATTGGCTAATTCCAGGATTCTCTGGTAGGCCAATCAGGTCGCTGATTCACTTCCACCTGGAGCTGGATTGGGTGGCTCCTGTGGACCAATCAGACTGCTGCATTCTGAATCCTATTGTTCTAGGACCAATCAGACTGCTGCATTCTGAATCCTATTGATCTAGGACCAATCAGACTGCTGCATTTTGGATCCTATTCAACTCAGTACATAACAGCTTGCTTGTTTATTCTCCAGAAGTAGTGCCTGGCTTCTTTTTAGATGCAGAGCAACAGGGAGGAACATCACAGAAGGCAGTAGAACTAGCTCCTACCATCACTCAGGGCTTTATTGAGATGTAAGCCCAATACACAGACTAGTGTGTGACAAAGACACGGGTTTTAAAATGAGATATAGCCAACGCAGGGTGCAAGCACATTGTCTAGGGCATGGGGATGGGGAACTCTTAGTGTATATATACTTTGCTAGTGAACTCAGTTCTTCGGACTTAGGGAGATGCCAGTGTTTGCAGAAAGATACCCCCACCCCAAAGAAAAATCAGCATATTACAATAGTCCCCCTCCCAAGAGCAGCAGGAAGACAGAGAGAGAGAGAGAGAGAGAGAGAGAGAGAGAGAGAACGGATGTGGATGCTCTGGGGGGCGGGAGCCAGCCCACCATAGGTGACTTTTAGCTAATAACCAAGGTGGAAGATCTAATTACAGATTTCCTATACAGATTTCCTCAGGCTTCACACTCTCAGCTGCTGCACTATAGCAGCTCTCTCTTATGGTATCAGAGTTCTCCCATTGAAATCCTTGGTAAAAAAGATTCCTTTTTCTTAATTGCAGACTGTTCCAATCCATTTTCTATTCTCCTGCAGCTCCCCTTCCCCCCTCCACACTGCCTTTGTTCACTGTCCTACTAAACCACATTTCAAAGCCCCCAAACACATGTCCTTCCTGAATCCTTTGCTTAATCTTCATTTGCCTCTAACCAGGTCACCTAATACTTATTTGAGCACACAGCAGCTCCTCTGTCTTTTCAAGTCTATTTGTCCTTTCCGCAGTATTTAGTAGAGAAGGTGACATATAATTCTTTTCAATATTATACCAGAGATTTTGTATTCTGGGCATCCTAGGCTTAAGGCTTAGGAAGACTGTGGTAAGCACCAAGACAACATGGCAAAATATGGCAATAAGATGGCGTTAGAACATGGCCTGTGACTAAATATGTTGGATTAACCTTCTAAAGTTAGTTCTGTTGTGTCGTGAAAGACCTGATAAAGAGGCAATAGACTTCCTTTCTCCAGCAGAGGCTGATTGGAAGGAACATGTGACACATCAGGGACGGATGCTCAGCAGAGACTATGGGGTCAGTAACTGGGGAAAGTGTCCACCCAGAAAAGCTTACAAACCAAAAATTGAGAAGGATCCTGCTGAAATATACCAACATGGTCAATATTCTATAGGCCTTAGTTACGACTCCACATGGTCAGTGGAAACTGACGCGAGACATTAAATGCTTGATCCTTTCTTATGTCTTGGTGCTGCTGTTTTCTGTTGTAGTGCAACTGATAAGTCTCATTCATTGCCAAGTAACCAACTTCCCTCAGTTGCTACCACAAACCTCTGTGAATACATGCCCAGTACTGCAGGGAAACACTAAAGTGAGGTGAGGAAAGGAAAAGTGACATTTTTAAAATATTAAAATTGGCCAGGCAAGCATGCCTCATCTAGTTTCCACTGAAAAAGAAGGGGGGGAGAATGCGACATAAAATTCAGGTATAAATTTATTCAGCAAATGTCACTGCATGGATAAATAATTCAGAACTCAGAAACTTCCACCTAGCAGAACTTTATGAAGGTCATTTACCTGCTGCTGCTCTTCTACCTCCCTTAGATTTTTCTATATAACCTGCTGTCAAAAAGGTTATACAGAGTAGGTAAAACAACAACGATTGGCCCAGGTTTGAGTATTTGCACTACCATTGCCTATGGGGCAGGAGCAGTTGGTGTTACCCGCCCGTCCTCCATACTGTCACTGATGTCGCTCCAATTGCCTGGACAGTGACGGGGGGCGGAAAATGCTGTGGCCATGAGGTAAGAATGAAGTGTGCGTAAGAGGTAACCCATTATGAAAGTTTCATCTATTTGATGCTTGCTTGCAACTATTACTTGAGGAGTTGGGTCTGGCAACCTGTTTCTAAATGTGACGAAAGGGGAGATTATTAAGTTTCCTTACCTGATACCTTTTGTTAAACAACTCCAGCGTCTCAATTTCAGTAGAGTTATCATTGGGTTCAAAACACAGGTACACAGAGATCTAGAAAGGAGGGAAATGGTATGTCAGGGAACTGACATCAGAGCGAGAGGCGAAGGGGAGGCTCCCAGATGATGCTGGCGAAGGACCCAGTACCAGGGGGAGAAGCAGCTCAGTAGAGGGGGAAGGTAATCAGCGCAACACCAGGGATAATGGGGGGCAGATGGGGGAAGCGGAGAGAGAGCTCCAGGACTCTTCACTGGACATCAGTGAGGAGAGCACAGGTCCTCCACTACCCACGCCCTCCCTGCGCAGAAGACTCCCGCGCAGTGAGAGGAGGAGGAGACTGGGAGTCAAACAGCTTTTATGCTGGAAGAGGTTTAAGAAACGCCCACTGACAGATTCTGCTAGCGACTGAGGCAGCCACGTTGAGATGGGCTGTGCAGTCAGAACGGTTTAACAAGGCAATTTAGCCTAGAGAGGCGGCAGTTTACGCACGAGTAACTCATACCCATTACATGGTACATGGCTCTTCAAACAGCAACGCAGCCCCTAAACATCTTAAGGGAAGATGGAGCAAGCTTGTTTCCCCCGGCTCTGGAGGGTAGGAATAGAATCAATGGTTTCAAGTTACCAAAAAGGAGATTCCGACTAAACATCAGGAAAAACTTTTTGACAGTAAGAGCAGTTCAGTATGTCTGAGGAGGTTGTGGACTCTCCTTCCTCGGTTGTTTTTAAGCAGAGGTTGAATGACCATCTATCATGGATGCTTTAGCTGAGATTCCTGCATTGCAGGGGGTTAGATTACATGACCCTTCCAACTCCACAATTCTGTGATTCTAAGTCAGAAGGCGTTACGTCCAGGAAAACTCGAGCAACAGAACCTCTCATTTTAGAAAATTCATCCCTGAACTTGCTTCAGACTTGCAAATTTCCAAACAACTATAGTCCTTTCCAAATGGTAAGGGCCACAAAGCCTGAACATATAGAGTAGGAACAGGATTGTGCTGCCTGTTGCTATTCCTGATCTCCATGTATTGGCTCTGTGTACACATATGTCATGTATGTGGACACAGTGCTGATCAACACACGGAGGCTGAGAGTAGGGTTGGAGGAATGGGCATAGCCAAGGGGGGTCAGGGAGGGGCAGCTGCTCCCCCTAAATCAATAAAAAATAAATACATAGCTAACTGAGGTTATGCCCCCCCAAAGGTCACCCCCCCACACACAAAAATCCTGGCTACGCCCATGGGAGGCAGTGAACCCACACACTTTCCACCACTTCAGCCTACCTGGGCCTTTGATCACGTAAAAAGGAATTATAGTTTAAGTCAATCAGGGCATTTATTTGTCTCTCCACAAACACTAAACACTGATCTCCCCTGTCTCTTCTTCTGCAACTTTCACACTGGAGTGCAATCAGCATTCCCTTTTGATGAATGCAGGGCATTTCCTTGTTTCAGAAAGGCTGGATGCAATCTGTGTGTACTGCCTTTGTGTGTTTCCTTTACAGCTTCTCTTTAACAAATGTCATTTGCTGCAAGCACAGGCTTATCGCAAGATTCTAATAACTAGACAAGGACTGGGACGAGAGCCTAAGAGATTAAAGATGAGTTCCTCTGATCCCTTAGAAAAACGATTATCTGAAGATATCTGTGACCTTTTCTATCCTTCCCGAATGCCCTGATTCATTATGTGCAGGAATGCAGGGGTTAGGAAGGCAAGAAGAGTAATCAGCCTGGCTTCAAGCCAAGCACACAGTGATTTATGCAGACTCCTTCTTGGTGGATACTAGCTTCACTGCCATTGCAATGCATTTCAATTTGCAAGGCAATAAAATTTCACATGTTTCTCAAACACTCTGAGCTGCAGAACTGTATTTGGCACTAACTACTTTCTCTGTACAGTGGTTGCTATTCATTATGAACAGTAATCTAGGATGTAAACTGATGGGCACGGTTCTTTATATCTGAAAGTCAAGATAATATTTTATATCTGCATGTGTGTGTGTGTGTCTATATATCTATAGTAGTAATTCCATGACTGCCAGTAACTCTAGAATATAGAACACACACCTATAGATAAACAGATAGATAGACAAACAGACACCACAGTTTTATGGATTTCAGTGTGGCATACATAAAAATTTAAAATCTGTAATACAATATTAAAATAAGATAAAATATTAAGCAACAGTATGTTGACAATGACCATCCAACCAAACTTGAAGTAAAATAATTGAAAGTGCCTCAAGAAGCAAAATAATAGTGTTGATAACAGGTGCACCTTCTTTTACACATGTGTAATGCAGTTCACCCATGGATGGAACGTGGAAAATAGGTCCCTCAATCAGATATATTGCAGGGTTTCCTGAACTGTAGGAAAATGAGAAGTCAATCCCCTACCTCATGAGGAGTCTCGGGCAGTAAACTCTCTTGTCTTGATACAATTTCCTCAGAGTTGTTATGTGAAGGATGGAGACCAGGTTCACAAACGTACGAGGAACCTGCCAAAAGGTAGGTGCAAAGTGCAATAGGTAGTACCAGCTTCTTAGTACATTTGGCCTTGTGATCAATATAACATATTCATCATCCACTGACCCAGTCTGCACACTGAACTGATGAAATTATTGGCAGGACAGCTGCCACCCCCTGCCCCCAATCATTCAGGGATCCCTAATTCAGGCTGAAGAGCTCTTCCTTGATACGTTAGTCCTTAAAAGCTTAAGTGCCACTGAAGTCGTAGGGAGGAAGATTGTCAAAGCTAGGTCCTTAACTGTAATGGAAGGGGCTGTACTATGCAATTCATTGACAATGGTCCTGCCGAGAGTTTCCAAGCCAAGAATGAGAAGAGCTTCATTTCAGTGGTTTGATGTTATTGTGTGTTACCAAGAACTAGATGGGTGCCTGGATGCATAAAACTGAGGTGTGATACATCACACTCTTGCAATGGAGAAATATCGTTTAAATGGTGTGTTCACAATGCGCAATCACCTGCGTATCATTCAGCCTGTGGCAAAATCTCATTTAAGTAAGTCCTCTAACAATGTGTGACCCCCCCCCAAGCCAAATATAGCCCAATAGTCAAATTTGGCAGCTCCTGGGGTCTTGAGAATCCTCCAGTTTTGAATTCCCATAGTAAATAAAAATAATTTCATGTTCTAGAGTAACCTATTCCACTACTAGTAAATCAACATCTCATTACTTCCCCCTACCAGCCCCACTGGCAAAGTGTCCTTTCATACCTCTTTATGGAGTATGTCCAAAGCAGCCTGTATATTGCTTACAAAATTTTCAGCGGAATAAAGTACCTTTAGTATGAAAGAAAAATAGGGGGGAGGTGAGTTGTGTTCACAATGACCTGCTCATAGCCTGCTTCATTTCTTTCCCAGTAACTTCATTATTCATTCATATTTTAAGGGGAAATTTATACGAGAGTGCACACCTTTTAAAACTGACATAATAAGTAAGAAATTCTGAGATTAGGAACTTGAGAACAAAGCATCACGTGAGAAGCAGATGTAAGATTTGCTGCACTGGCAAACTGAACATGGGGTTGTTTGGGGCAAAGCTATCAGTGCATCAGCGCAACACTTGTGTTGCATTGCAAACATTTAGGGTTCCAGGTAGGCATTCAGAACTAAACTTCAATCCACTCAGTCCTAAAGGTGGATAATGATGGGTAATGGCAAACAGTCACGCAGAGCTCCATTTGCTAACTCTGCCACTTACATTGCATGAACAATTGTATGAACAACGGAACATGTGTATGATGGAGCTGCCTTGGCCACAGAAGTGAATGAGGAAGTCGATGCTGCATGAAGAGACTGGGAGCCCTAAGTCCACATAGAGCCAGTGTGGTGTAGTGGTTAAGAGCGGTAGACTCGTAATCTGGTGAACCGGGTTCGCGTCTCCACTCCTCCACATGCAGCTGCTAGGTGACCTTGGGGTAGTCACACTTCTCTGAAGTCTCTCAGCCCCACGCACCTCACAGAGTGTTTGTGGGGGAGGAAGGGAAAGGAGAATGTTAGCCGCTTTGAGACTCCTTTGGGTAGTGATAAAGCGGGATATCAAATCCAAACTCTTCTTCTTCTTCTTCTAGAAGCTCTTTCACGTGTAAATAGGCTGATAATGTTGCAAATAACCTGCTTGCAAGTAACCTGCAAATAACCTGATTATTCTTAAGGTGCCATCCACAGTTGCAGCCTTGAATATTTTGACAATATTTCTAAAGGTTGTGGTGCCCATAAAAGGGACGAGAGTTTCACAGCTGTGGAACAGCCACCCTCTTTCTCCCTGTGCTAACCTGGTATGCTAACCTGCCGCTCTTGGTTGATCTGAAGGACTGCAGTAGGGCTTAGAGGAAGTGGCAGATTTTCAGATTTGCTGGATCCATGGCATGATAAGTGTTCTATTATTAAATTATCTATATATCCGTTATCTAAACTTTTGACTTTATCAAGAGAAAGTTATCTTTAAGATGAGGTCACAACAATAAAGTTCTCAAAGATATGCTTTGGTGTGATATCATCTTCAGGTTGAATGACCTCTAGGTCCCACCACAGAGAAGGTGACATGACTAGATGCTTAAACCCATCTGACATTAACTCCACTATCACATGAAGATAAGCCAAGCCAGCTCACAGTGTCCAATTGCTCTTCTTCAGTTAGCCATGAAGCTTTGGGTTGTCATGGTGTCCAAACCTTGATCGTGTTTTGTTCTCCCTAACAAATCGTGATCAGTAAGTCAGCAACAAAATATGATTTCACATTGGCTAGTGATCGTGATTTGTTCGGGAGAAACAATCCCAGTTCAGATGGCTTGTTGCTCTCACCTGCCCCACAGAGAAAGCAAACCAGGAATGTTTGGGCAGAAGCTGAATAGACTAGCAAGTGGCAATCTTATTTCATTACTAGTAACTGAACAGAGTCTGCCACCAAACCTGACACAGTAGACTCTTAGGGGTGCAATACAAGCCATGTGGCACAACACAGCTCTGTCTTCCAACAGGAAGAAAGGCCTGGGGAGCTCAGAAGGAGCAGCCAGAGGAACTGCCACCACTTGCTCCTCAACATCTGCCACCTGAGGTGATAGCCTCACTCTGCCTGATGGTAGGACCAGACCTAAACCCGAACATTACTCAGTGGGACAGAGATAACATGGAGTCATTCCAATATTATATTAAATAATGTGAAGGACAGATCCTGTGTAAATAATGTGAAGGACAGATCCTGTGCATCTGCACAATTACCACTTAGGAATTTTTATGGATGAGCACTTAGATACACAAGTAAGATGTTCTTGCTGGGTGTTGTATAGGGTGAACGGAGAAAAACACTTTTAAAATAATGTCTTGGAAACTTACAGGATCTTTGCAATGGTCACACAAGTCATTCCCTCCTATGAAAATTGTTACAAGTTTCCAGTCTTCTTGGAAATTTATTTTCTACATTAAAGACAAAGAAGATGAAACATAATGAAAAGCAAGAAGGAAAAATACTTGCGTCAACAGCCTAGAAGGATTAATTAAATTGCTCTTTTAGGGGCACAGTCAGCTTATTCCTTTGGACTTTTACAGAACCTAGGAAACCAGGGCAGCAATCTTAAATTAGGTCTTTATGCGCCACATGGTTATATAAAACAAAACAAAAAAATCACAGGTTCACTTTGCAGTGGCCTATTTCAAATCACTAATGCTACTATAGTGTCACCTACATACCTAGTTGTATACTGTCACATTAGGAACTGGGCTCCAGATCTCCATTTTTAAGAAGTACAATTGCTCTTAGGGCAGAAGCATGCTAGGCACACCACTGCCAAAGAGCTGCAGCTCAGTAACAAGGGATATTGCCTGCATGTATAAAGTTTTAAGCTCAATCTCCAGGGCTGCCAGCTAAAGGATCACAGGTTGCAAGGCCTTTGGAGAGCTACTAGTCGCCAGGCTGACCTCCTGGGGCAATGACATCATTGGTTACGCTTCAGCACCTTGTACTGTAGAAACAGAACATTGGAACGAAAACAGAAATCTGTCAACCCAATTTCTCTGCAGTGATTTAATGCAACCGCAGAAGGTTCAGGGGAGTTTGATGGGTTGCTTTTAACTTTTCCCATGCATCTTATTAAATGCACAAATGATTTGCAGGCACACACCTGGCAGCTGCATCGCTGGACCGCAGTGATGCTTGGTCCTTCTTGAGCAGCCCAAACTGGCAACTATGTGAGTTACTTAACACATATGGTGAGATGAGCACCGCACCCCATAGTCACCTTTGACTGGACTTAACCATCCAGGGGTCCTATATAGTACATATTTACATAACTGGTTTAGCAGCACTACCCTTTTCCCAGGAGATGTATGAATTCTAAGCTTCAGAACAAAACTAAAATTCCCAGGGTTCTTTGCAGGATACTAGAATGATTAAACTGGTATATAACTAATCTAAGTCTATATGTCTTGTTAAATAGTTACATGTTGAAGCATCTGGCATCCCATCTGTTTTAATAGTTGGTTTACTGTTTTTCCTGATGTGTACTGCTGAGCCACTAGGGACTCCACCAGACATCTTGTTTATCGAGCAATTATACTGATTTGCATACACAAGACTTAGGTGGTAGTTGGATTCTGTCCTGTCTTCTTTTTATTTAGCAATCATTCTGATTTCTTTGTGGGGCAGTTATACAACAATGAGCATTCAGCCTGAACTGCTTGCAGGGTGTTTACGTGTCTTCCTGTTAATCATTTGCTCATCCCACACGCTTCAGGGCATTTCCCTGTCACTTTCCTAACTGCAAAAAGTCCTTTGTTTTTTGTTTTCTGTTGTGTGTTTTTTAAAAAAATTGTCATGCTCGGGCAACAGAGTGCTTTATTCACTGCAATAAACTATAGTTCTGGTATGCTCCTGAATTTCTCCCGCAAAATAGTGGCATTCTGGGCACCCTCTTGAAGCAGTACCGTAGCAGCCCAAAGCATGCTAATTCAGATATGTAAATCCTAATATCCATATTCAAAAAGGGTTCAGAAATCTGACCACCAGCACTCATATCAGTCGTATCTGTCAGAGCTCTTCTCTCACTCCTGCATGCCAGCCCACACCTTGGCCATTGCATCTTCTGGCTTTTTTGAACTACTAGCAGTATTAATGAACTGCATCAGCATCTGCATCCTTTTAAAAAAAAAAATCTACTCTGTTTGGAAGATGTTGTGTTGCTGCAGCAATGCATGGTAGGCAGCACGAGAAATAGCAAACCCTTCCCAGATTATATCTTCATACATCATATCTTCATGACTAAAATTTTATGGAAAAATTAAAGACAATAATTTTAAAGGGGCGGGGAAGAATATTTTCTATGTTTTTAAATCAGGGATAGAGATTCCGTGGCCCTCCAGAATTCCCATCATTCTTGACCATCAGCCACGCCGAATAGAGATGATGGGAGTTTGAGTTCAATCATGTCTGGAAGACCATAGGGTTGCCATCCCAGTTTTAGATGGTGGCTGCATATATCACAGCAGGCACCACAGGTTTTTTAAAAAATAAAAATAAAAAAGCATTCCCTCTTGTGTGAGAATAGGAGGGGGTGCCTCTTCTACGAATATGGCTTTTATCTGCAGTTTTTCTGGGTATTTATATTCAAATCAATTTTTTTTAAAGAAAAGAAAAGAAAAACGTATTACACAATTAGTCAAGGATCCCTTGTGAGCCATTTCTATGTGTTTTTCATTTCCATATGATTAAAAAGTGAACCCTTCATTCCATCCTTAAGACCTTAACCTCCCCTTCCCATCCCTTGCGAAATCGCGTAAGATAATGCAACCCATTAAGAAAAGAAAGGCTCGCATTAACAGAAACTCACAGAATCAGTCTTCATCAAGTCTATTAGCTTTCTAGCTTGAGATAGGAGGCCTCTAAATATAAAAAAACATAAGGCAAGTGATTAGAATTTTGTGATCAGTACAGCCATTGGGAGTGTCGTTCCAAGGAATATGATAACAGGAAAACTAATTCAAATGGTAATGGCCTGTGTCCATAAATCCCACCCCCCAAAGCCACTTCATTCAACAGACAGTGCACAAAGAACTTTGAAAACATCTTTAAACTTGCTTTAATGTTCAAATAGCCAGTCTCAGAGGGCAGACAAGTCATGACTACTGTGCCCGTTTCTGCATATGGGACACCTTGCACAGGCAGGATTGCATCAACAGCTCTGGCCTGCCGATTTGTGCAATGCTAATCTTTCTGAGAATGATCCCACATGTGTTGGCACACAAGGAATGCCGAGCCGTGGAACTGCTCTGCTGTTCTGTGTGCAGTAGGATTCCCACAATGGGATGTGCCCATGGAATAGCAGCTCTATCCATGCATGCAATTCCCTGCCATATGTAAAAGTGGATCGCTGGCCTGGGGCCAGGAACAGAAAACAGACATCTCTCACCCAAGCATCAGCTTCTATCGGGATAAATTCAGGATTGCATGATATCAGCTGTAGGCATGAAATATTATCCCCAGCTATTGTCATCTAACTGAGCTGGGAGAGATGATAACAGTAATCTAACAGCACAATTAAATCCAGTGGCTTGCATGCAACACTTCTGTTCGTGCTGTCAAAAATGGCCTTTGCCTCACTTACAGCAGTGCTGCACTGATGACTCAGAGTTGATTTTTGCAGCCACCACTGGCAGGAGCCACACCTGTGACTGGCCTCCAGCTAAAATAGCCATTGCTATGTGCAGAGGCAGTCCTGGGTGGGCTGACACAACCCACAGAGCTTTGCATGCCTTTTTGCATATCACTCCATGTCAAGCTTTTCTGAGCATGCAAAAAGTAAATGTGACCCTATGCATTGTGTTACTGGCTCAGATGTGGGAATCTGCCCTCGTGATTCAGCATAGCCTCACAATGCTTCTCAGCAGCATTATAGGCTAACCCAGGGGTAGCTAACCTTTGACCTTTCTGTTGTTGGGCTACAGTTCCCATCATCCTCACCACTGGCTATGCTGGCTGAGGCTAATGGGAGCTGGAGATCAACAATACCTAGAGGACATCATGTTTAATGATGCCTGTCCTAGCCATCCCACTTTGACCATGCCCATTTTAAATTTATGCATTTGGTTATTTCTCCCTAATTTGTAATACATCACACTTTTGGAAAAAGAAACAGGTTAAATCTCATGTATAATTTTGCAAACAACCAGTGCTCCAATTTATCAAGGACATTTTGAATTTTCATCCCGTCCCCTGTGGTATTTGGAGTCCTAGTTTTCTGTAATGTGCAAATCTAATGAGCATTATACCAACTCCTTCCTCCAGGTTGTTAGAGGGAGCAGCAGCTAAGCTAAGCTTGTAGCATCCTGAGATACTATGCCTCTTTTAATAACAGTTCTGTGGTAGCAGCAGCACACAGGGAATGCTTCTTCTGGCTGCGTTTCAAGAAGGCATGCAGGTCACTAACTCTGTGGTACAAGTCAGTTTTGCCGGGTTCTCAAACTAGCATCCTGTTTTGTCATCTTTGAACATGTGGCATACTCAGCATGTTGTGGGGGGGTTAAACATCTAAGCATTTTTGCTTAGACAAGTCCGCCCAGATATGCAGAATGATGGTGTGTGCTTTAATCTGCTTTTAGTTTATCACGGATTTTATTTTATTTTTGAATGTTTCAAATAACTTTTAACTGTTTTCACCAATAATTCTATGGTTTAATACTTTTTGTAAATGGCTTTCATGTGTGTATTATTATTATTATTACTATTATTTTAAAAATCAATCGAGTGGTGCCTAAATTTTATGAAATAAATGAAGAATTTTGTCCCAGGGTCCTGACCTCAGCCTGGCACGAAGCCAGCCAAGACGGTCCTGGGCCTGCCTCCCACCATCTTGTGTGGACTCTTGCCTCTTCTCCAGGATCACTATGCATCAGGACAGCTGAAAGGAGCCGCTGCAGACCTGCTGCTGCTAGGGAGGAAAAGTGGCAGCCCCGGGGCATCAAGCTTAGCCACTCACAGGAGGATTGGGTCCTTTCTGCAGCACTGGGCCACTTGCAGCAGTATCTGTTTGTGGGTTTCTTTGGGTACCATCTTACCAAGGGCTCTCCCCCAAACCTGGAGCTGGCCCTTGTAATGGATAACCCAGCAGCGAGTTGTCCGTTTTTCCTATGTTTGCCACAGTGCAAAGTTGCACTGGATGCTTTAGTTGAGATTCCTGCATTGCAGGTGGTTGGATTAGATGTCCCTTCTGACTCTACGATTCTATCCTGAAGGGTTGCAATGAAGCAGGTCAAGGGAAGGGAGTGTTCAGGACAGACAGCTTTGTTACTTAATAATCTCCCTTCACAGGGATGGAGGGAGGGAGCTAAACCCTTGATGCGTGAATGATATTGTGTTCCAGTGGAACAGATAACTGCAAGGATTCTGCCGGCAGAGATAATGAATTTCAAAAAGCAACGGTGGTGGTGATAACTGCTGGAGTGATCAGCTCAGCGCTCTGTTATTGTGTGCTATCACCTCGGTGAAATTACTGTTATTATGTGGCATCAATGCGTATGGTACAAACTGTGACTGACATACAAGGATTCCCTGTTTTTCCAAGGTGAGAGGGGGCTCTTATTTTCTGTGGATGGAAGCACTAGAGAAGAGCCAAGCACCTTGTCAGAAAGAAACCAAACTGTGTGTGAGTACATACATTTAGAAACACTCGAGACAAATCAACCTAGGGCTAGTTCAAATGCTGCCACCCCTAGATAATATTTAACTGCAGAAAAAGAGCATCTCTGTGTAGAAGGTTGAAGTGGCTACAGGGGGTGGGGGGGCGGTTATCAGAAGTGGGGAGGTCCACTTCTGACATGAAGGGCCACATTCACACAGGGCTAATTGATATGGGGATGAGTCAGAGCTGCCGCTGCACCAGAAATCACACACTCCCAATGATTTTTAACCCATTTATATTGATCTATTAAATCTGCAAATGAGGAAAACATCATTGTTCAAAAGTGGGGAAAGCATTGTTTTTTGATGATGCCCACGTGTGTTACTGCAGTTGTCCTGCAGGAGGAAATAAGTGGTATCTCGCAAAGTAGATGCACTATTTGCACAACAGAACTTCCCCTTCCTCTCCTTCCCCCCCATGCCCCACCCCAAATCAACTCGGAAGGGTTAGGGGGGAACCCACAACAGATTTAGGAAGGCGTGAGGGCAGATTCACTCCATTGGGTACCACCAAAATGCTTGCTGTTGCTGTTTTTTAAAGCACTTGAGTTGAATGTAAGATTTGATTTACAATCTGCTGTCTGGTTAAATCCGGGCAACTTTTTTGGGGGGTGGGAGGATAAAAAAATGTTTTCATCAGTTGCTCTCACCAATTAATTAGCTAAGCATTGCAGCTCTAAGAGAAACACCTCACATTTTCATTTCCAGTTGGATATCTACTCAACAAACATTGTTGAAGATGCAACTTTCAGTGAGAAAGCAGAAACAGAAAACTCAGCCAGAATTTTTCAGCTGCTCATTCCCATTTGCAAGTGTCCCATGCACAGCTGAGGTCCTGAAGGGGGGAACTCTCTGATGGAGCTCCTGTTTCTGTTCACACTGGAGTTGGGATGTGGTCAAAGAACTTTGCCAGCATCTTGGAGAAAGTGCCTAAATGATGTGTGATTATTTGCTCCATTTACTCCAGTCACCCAATAACCAAGGAGGACAGCCTTGCTGAAACCTTTTCCTTTTTTTGACAGGAGTAGGAACGAGATAAATAATCAGAGACTTGACTCAACTTGTGGAGAAGTGAGGGTTCACCCACACTGCCATTTTGTTTTCTTTATTTCTTTGATGTATTTATATCCCACCTTTCTCCCAAGTTGGGATTCAAGGCAGTTTAATGTGGATAGTAAGCTTCTTGTGCCTCTGTTGTCCATACGACATTCTCCAAATCACTGCCTTCCCATACTTTGCCCTCCCTCAATGTGGATTTCCTCATACCCTCTCCCTGGTGTCTGAAAACCTGGACTGAAGGAGGGAAACACGTGAGAAAGGAGCAATTTGTAGGAGAATACCATATGGACAATGGAGAATCAGTGGAGGTATAGGAAGTTGTACCACATTAAATGACAGGAAGGATGAGGCCTCAGAATGTGGAGACAATGCTCTTTCAGTCACTGATCAACTTCTCTCAAAATAGGATTTAGCATCTCAGGATAAAAGGATAGTGCATTTTCTTTTTTTCTTCCCAATTATGATTCTGCAACAGTACCATTACAGATAAATGCTAAAAAGGCTTAACACATCTGCAACAGACAGGTCTGCACAGACAAACAAACATGCCCAACATCTAGTCTTACTCTGCACGGGCTCCTGCCACAGCCTGGTTCAGGTAGGCATTAGATGTGCTCTGGCTTCCTTTGCCACTGGAGTAGCCTAACAGAGAAGGGTTGAACTCACGAAGAATATCTGAAAAAGAAAGGTGGGATATCATAGAGGCGTACCAAACGATGAATGAATAGCATAGATATTTCTGTTTTCTAATAATGGTCGGCAGCTGGTTCAAGACAAACAAAAGGCAACACCTTTTCACCTGACAGCATTAATTTAGGGTGGCCTTAAAGGTAAAGGTACCCCTGCCCGTACGGGCCAGTCTTGACAGACTCTAGGGTTGTGCGCTCATCTCACTCTAGAGGCCGGGGGCCAGCGCTGTCCGCAGACACTTCTGGGTCACGTGGCCAGCGTGACGAAGCTACTCTGGCGAGCCAGAGCCGCACACGGAAACGCCGTTTACCTTCCCGCTGGTAAGCGGTCCCTATTTATCTACTTGCACCCGGGGGTGCTTTCGAACTGCTAGGTTGGCAGGCGCTGGGACCGAGCAACGGGAGCGCCGCGGGGATTCAAACCACCGACCATGCGATCGGCAAGTCCTAGGCGCTGAGGTTTACCCACAGCGCCACCCGCGTCCCTACAGGGTCCCTAAGGGTGGCCTTAGAGGGTCATAAAAGGCATGAGACAAATATGTAGCATAGCCATTAGTCACGACAGCAAAATGGAACACCTGTGCCTCTGTGGATGAATTTAGACATCCAAGCAACGTGTTGGGAAGGGAACATGTTGAAGGAGTGATGTTTCATGGATAGATGGATGGATGGATGGATGGATGGATGTAATAACAACAACTACAAACTTTACCCTCAATGTCTCTTTTGCACTGCCCTGAACTTTTCTTCTAAGCATGTTTGGACAAACACTGTTGTAAGTCTCTACACCATCCAAAACTTTAATACCCAATCAGATGGGAAGGGGTATTAATAAATGATAGTAGTAGTAGTAGTGATGATAGTTTATGCAGGACTCTTGATCTTGTGGAGGCTTCTAACTACATTCATCTGAACATGGTTTGAAGCCCCATTGCAGGCTTCCCAGAGGAACCTAGTGTGAGAACAGGATGCTGCTCTTGTTAATGTTCTTTTATGTTTTATGTCTCCTCTTATGTTCTTAACATAAAAAACATATGCTTAAAAGCAATATGAATGTCAGGTGTTGGGGTAAACAATGGGAGATGGCTGTCATCATAGCACCCTGTTTTAGCTTCCAGAAGCATCTGGATCTCCACTGTCAAAAACATCAATGAGATTCGGCAAAAGGCCACTGTGGAGGGAGGGGGAGGAGGGCTGCCCCTGCCTTTCACTCTGTTCTGTAAGTGCTCCCCCCCCCCACTAAAGTAACTGCTTGGTTCCATGAGCTGCCTGTGGTTTGGTGTCCGTTGGTTGCCTGTAAAAGAGTTCCAAGACACCTTTCTTTTCCCCATAAAAACTTGCACAAGGAGCCTTGCTTATTTGCTTAATGCATTCCAAGATCGTACGGAGCTGAATAATAATTATGCTACACACACACATATATATATATAAAGTCACAGAGAATTTCGAAGCAACTAAGACCCTGGGAAATTATAAAACACACACTGTTAAGTCATGCACAGCAAATTACAGCGTTGGCTGTGAGAAGGCTTTCCCCGCCCCTCCTCCACCCCCATCAGTCTGGGATGCTGAATACAAAGAGGTTTAAGTCTGTCAAGCCTGCTGAACATTTCCTCAAGTTTGCTCCATAAATTATGAAAGAGCTTCACAAATGCACTAACCTTAGGGAAATGGGCACTTACTTGCTAATGTTGTGACTGTGCTTATGTTTTCATTTCCACCAACACTGCAGAATTGGGGGGTGGGGGGGAGTGTGCAGGGAGGGGAGGGAGGAGAAAGCAAACAAAAGTTAGAGAAGATTTGCTTGGAACAAGTCACAGAGTGCCCCCTGGTGATGTTTCCGATCCTCAGCTATCGCTTTCTTGAACTGCTGGTTTGAATGTTTGTTTTATTTATTTTACTTGTATCATGCATTGAAATGGGGCTCCCAATGGTATTCTATAAGGCAATCTATCTATCTATCTATCTATCTATCTATCTATCTATCTATCTATGGCAGTAATCACCAGCTGCCTACCTCCTAAGTCTTTGTAATGCTTCCAGTCCATTCACAGGATCCTTCTCAAGACTATGGTTAATAACTCAGGTTGCGGAGCCTATGATATGGCAGAGGCTTCATTGCTAATGATATGCCCACACACTGCACTGTTGTCTTTGTTCATAGGTATTGTGGGGTTTTATAACAGCTCCACATGCCTGTGAAACTTGTGTTAACTATATAATGAGCAGAGTCCCTATGATAGTAAATGTCCTGGTTTTGTGGCCAGCCCAGAACAGCAAAATGCCAACAGGGGTATCAAGCAGCTAAAAAACAACAATGCATGGTTGATGTGCTGTGTTTTGATTTCCGTTATAGACTTGCAATTTAATAAATGGGGAGGGGGTAGTTTCCCTAGAGTGAGTTATAATTTGGCCTAAGAATATTCCTCTTGAAGACTCTATGCATTAGTTTCATTTATGTACATGCACCAGTAAGCAATCATCAAATATATCCATATATGCCGAGTCTGAATGCAACTGAAGTCAGAAGCTTTCACTGTAATAGTGACAAATGAGCAGGACTGTCCTTAGTCTGTCATTTCTGATTTTTGACTGTGTGACTTATATTAGTATAGGGTTGCCATATTTCAAAAAGTAAAAACCAGGACACCCCGAAAGATCCAAGACAAAGCGCTGCCTTTCAGAAATCCCCCCACCCCCCGGAGGTCAATTCTGCCTTTGAAATCCCAGTAATGTCCGGGAAAATCCAGACATATAGCAAACCTATATTAGTATCTGTTACAAATGTTGGTGCCTACTGATTTAGCAGCAGTTAAAAGCAACACTAGGAGACTAAAATTATATATGCAGCAAAAATAGCAAAGTAAAACACCGGCAAAAGAGAAAAAATAATAACTCTTTACTACTCATTTAAAAGTCATCAGTAGAGGAACCTTATGCAATGATCTAGGAAAAGAGTTCATAGGCATGGGGCAACCACTGAAAAGGCCCTGTTTCTTGTGCTTGCCAGTCAAATATTCCTTGGTAGTAGGCAATGTATGCTACAGGCAAATTGAGCTAGCATGTTTAATAGAACCAGTAAATGGACTGTTACTTTCACCATTCACTGAAATGCCCCAGTTTTGTACAGGGAAGAAAGGAACTGCTATCTGCTTGTGACTAATATTGTGTAAGAAGATAGAAAGTAAATTATCTAGAGACACAAGGTTTCTCACGCGTATATCCTATTTCTAGTCGCCTCATCACACTCCATTTGAATGCTGCTTTCAAGTACTTGTCCTCATTGTAGCGAAAAATGAATGAGATGGGAATATGAAAAGTCAGAACATTTGTAGAAAAAGGTACTTTCATTAATTTGAAGAAATAGATAAGTTGAACTTGAAACAGGAACTTGAAAAAAGACGAAGCCATGCATAAAGAAGAGGAAGACTCCTATATCATCAGAGAAGCCTGAGGCCACATCTGCCAGAGCCATGACTCTAGTTACAGCTTGTGCAAGTTTTAAGAGTGCCAACCTCAAGATGGCTCTGAAGTAGCAATTGAGGTCAGCAAGGAGGAGACTGGAATTGGTTTCGAAAGCCAGCAAGAAGAAAAGAATAAGAACAGACTGCAGAATAGCTAAAGATTTTGATTTGTGGCACTCACCTCCATGAAAGGCCTCGATACTGTGTCAGAACATCTAGGACATTGTTTGGTGAAGAACCCGCTCCATTTCCTGCCTGATATCAAAGAGGACAAAGGGGTTTGGGAAAGTCCTTTTAGAATAAGTTGCTTGCTGGTTTGGAATGGGATGGTTGGAAAGAAGCCACTTTAGATGACTCCCCTTGGAAATATCCCCCACTCTCGCTCTGAGGAACCTTGACAGTATTTTAGTTCTGCCTAAAAATAGCATTGGCATCCTGTCTACCTTATCATGGGGATAAGCAAGCAGTGGAGGACTGTCATTGGCCAGGGCTAAATTTACAAGCCTACTTAGAATAAAACCCATAAACTGATGGTTGCTGATCAAAGAATAATAAACCAATAATTGCCCTTCCATTAATACTTGTTTCAAGAATACTGATGGGTACAGAAGCAATAAATAACAAAGCATATTGCAACAAAGCAACATAGGGTTATGAAGGAGGGATAGAAATAACATTAATTTGTTACTGCTGTTGACTGAGTTATACATTGCTAGCACGTAGGCAACTGCAAATGTGGTAAGATCTCCCACGCCCCAAATTATAGCGCCTTCACGGAGCTTCCACAAGTAAAGGATTTTCAGGTTATAAGTCACATGGTTAAAATGGCCTTTAGTCAAGTTCTCCTCTGCAAAGAAATGTCCACATGTGGTAGGAAAATGTTTGAAATATATATACACATTTGTATCAATTAGCATTTGCAAATGCGCAATGGCCCAAGGAGGTGGCAATCCCAGATTAAGACTGCAGCATAATGGGAACAAAGCGGATGAAAGCATGGGAAATTCAGTTCGCCATGAAGATCCCTCCTTTTTCAGATCAGAATTCAGAAACAGCTTTGACACCACTCATTTTAATAGAGCACATTTTGGTGATCTGCACTTACAGTTATTGAGTCCCCAAGGGCGCCTATAACTTTAATGTCTGCTGGCCTCAAGTTATGAACTATAAAAAAGAAAGAGAGAGAGAGAGAGTGATGGGACTCTTAAGAGGATCTTTGACATTCGGAACATATTTCTTCAGAAGAAGTTGAAAGAACTTGAGATCTTATTTAAAACTCATATTCTGCCAAATTGCCGTAACTCTTGTTAGTCCCCGGAGGCAAATATGTGATACTTACCAGAATACCTAATTCTCCTGCAACTGTTCTTCCCTAGAAGCTAGGATTTTTCTCCCACAAAATTATTATGCTGAAAGAAAATCCAAGGAACTGGTATCTGACAATCTTCAGTCAGCAGTGGGGAATAATTTTCACCCAGAGAGGGCCACATTTCTTTCTGGGCAAGTTTCTGAGGGCCACATGCCGGTGGTGAGTGGAGGGAGAGGGGCAACAGCAGCCAGAGACATTAATGTGTTGTTGTTTTCCCTTTGTACAGTGTGCTGTTTCCACACACACTCACACAGCCCTCTCTGTTCTCCATCCAGACAAGCTTTAGAAGAATTCAAGGCCACATTTCAGCCAGGCAAAAATGTTTGGGGTGCTATGCGGGGCCAGTAAGCAGCCTGGCCTGAAGAGAATTTCAAAGGCCAGACAGAGAAGTCTGGAGGCCCACATTTGACCCACAGGCCTGAGGGTTCCCAGCCGTGGTCTAATGAGTCTCAAGTATTGTAGGGTCATTTTAGATGAAGGCCAGGATGCCCCTCAAAGACTGGCCATGCCATACTCTGTTACAGCTCAAAATGTGCAAGTCCCTTAAACCGAACTATTGTGACAATAGCCACAATATTTATTTCAGGCCTTATATGCTGCTCTGTAACCAAGTTTCCACAACATTAGAATGCCTTGAGCACCTGCATTCCTATGTGCTCGTAATCCTTTCTTTGGTTAGCAATACTTTTCTGAAGCATTGCCAAAGAACTTGGGGTTTTTTTAAAGTCAGCTATGCTAGTGCTTTGAAGTTATAAGAAGGAAACTTTTATTCCCCCAAAGATGCACACTTTGTAGTTTTGGAAAACTGGGCTTTAGGTAAATTGGGTTTGTATGTGAGCATGGAGAAAACTCTTTAATACCAAGCCAATAATTCACACTATGAAGAGCATATAAGTCAACTGGAGAATGAATGGAGGACCACATTCCAGTGTCCCTGGAATCACCACTGTACCGCTTTTAGACTATTCAGAAAATAGATTGCAGATTCTATACAGGCTGTGGATTATCCCCAAACAGGACTGTAACCAAGGTTCTTTGAGGAAGGGCTATAGTTCAGTGGTTGCACGCAGAAGGTTCCTGGTTTGATTTCCAGCATCTACAGGTAAGGTTGGGAAAGGCACCTGCTTGAAATCCCAGAGAGCCACAGCCAAGCAGTTTAGATAACACTGAACTAGAGTACCACAGCTTCCTAAATTCACATGCTCCCTAGCCATGATGGAGGAGCCATTATCCAGTGACAGACCACCAGGTTTTCATGTAGAAGGTCCAGTGGGTTCAATCCCTGATATCTAAGGTAGCTTCTGCCTGGAATCTTACAGAGTATACATCCCAAGGCTTACTATGCCATCATTTTCTCCCACTCATCCCAGAGATGTTCCCACTTGGAAATGAAATTAACAACCTTCACCAATTAAAAAAAAATCACAGTCATCTTCCACTTTCCCCAATGAGCGTAAGGCAGGCATTAGAGGGGTGTTACCATATTTACCATCCTTGCAACTGTCCTCTGAAGTAGCTAGGAGGGCCCAATATATTTTGCTGCCCGAGGCAAAAGACAAGACAGCAGAATCGAACCAAACAACTAGCTGAATTTTATTTCAACATTGGCAATGAACCAAGACAGGACCTATGATGACTGAGCAAATCCAGAGATAAAAATCTGTACCTGAGGCAGGAATTGTGTCTGAGGGGTTGCGGTCTATACATGGAATGTCCGTCCCAAAGCTCCTTTGCTGACAAAGGACAGAGAACAATGCATTACAAATGGCCTTTAGCAGTTGCAGTAGAAAGAAATGCATACTTCTTCAACAGACTAGAGGAAGAGCATTGCCCCCTAGAAAATAACTGCAAGGGATATACAATGTTCTTATGTCCAATACCCATTCTTCTCCACCCAAAGACAAGCAATAATAAAATATTATGCAGTTGGAGCTTTCCCTACTTGAGACACTGTTTTGGTTCGTGGCTCCACAGGAAAAGATGAGTAGTTGCTATTCTTGAATGTGAAGAAGTATGGATTCTCCTGCAGAGACAAGATGATGAAAACAATTAGGGCGGGGAGAGGAATAATCATTTCGCACCATGATTGAAGTCAGAAGGGCAGATTCAGCAACCAGAGTTAATCATTTCAAATTCTGGATTTAAAGGGACCATTCTAATCTCCAGAGACCATGGCCTGCTTATGGACTGCCAGGCTCTAAGACAGGTAGGGTGAACCTTTGGCCCTCCAGTTGTTGCTGAACCTCAACTCCCATGAATCCTGGCCATTGGGACTGATGTAGTTCAGCAACATCTAGAGAACCAAAGGTTCCCCACACCTGCCCTATGAAGAAGGGCACATGAGCTTTAGCATGGCCAAGACAGAGAGAAACTTTCACCAACCTGGTGTTTTGGACTACAGCTGGCTGGGGCTGATAGTTGGTGTACAAAACATCTGGAGAGCACCTGGTTGGTGAAGGCTAGTCTAATACTTTATTTTGTTTGTTTGTTTTATATACTGACCTTCACCTGAAGATCTCAGGGCAAGTCACAAGATAAAAATACAAGATAGAATCACAAAATAAATAGTTAAAACAAAAACAGCCCCCCCAAAAGACATTTAAAAGGCCATAGAACATTAATTAGCCAAAAAAACCCCCTCTCTCTCTCTCTCTCTGTGTGTGTGTATCTATCTATCTATATATCTATCTATCATCTATGAAAAAGAAATTATTTTAGCAGATAAAACTCAAGTAATGCCATCTTACCCACACAATAAATTCCCCACCCACCCCTTATGTGTGAAACTGGATGAATTTTCTTTGCCATAACTTGGTTAAAATTCAGAAGGGTCAGCACTAATTTTTAATAAATATCACATTGCTTTGTGCGCTGCCAGATGATCTGAACAACAGGGGTTTGTTTGTTTGTTTTTTGTAAATGATCATTGGGCAGGTTTGATATCCTGCAACATTCCCCTTTGTCTTCTCCAACTTCACCCACTCCAGACAAGTTCAGTCAGAATTCTCATGAGTACACAAGGGCAATTTTCAACTAAATAATTGCATCTCCAAATTTGTCCTGAAGAGTTTGTGGAAAACCCAGAACAGAGTTAAAGGGTGTAGGGATGGAGTTGGGGGGGGGGAGAGAATGTCCCATGCACAGGGAGAAATCCTTGCACTGATGGAATAATTTAGTTAACACTGCTTTGAATACAACACTATGTGTGAATGGGTGGTCACTGATAAATTGCCATGATGTCTGGAAATTTTCTGAGTGGGAAGGCCTCTTGCTAGCTCATGCCTTCCCTTCTATGTCTTGCATATTGATTTATGTATAGCACCTAGTTAGAGCAGGCATTCTAGAAATAAATCATAAAGAGCAATAATTATAAATGCAAATGAGCAATGATGGCATTTTTCTTTTCTGGGAGAAATGGCATCTCTAAAGCCATTTTCACAAATGACCTTTGAATCTCTTTTTTCATTTCCCCTTTCTGAACAACATTAAATGAAAAATTTACATTGGCTGAAAAGTACATTTGATTTCGAAATGTCTCTCTCCTTTCATTACCAGTACAGTAAGAACATCATTCAGGATTGATGCAGTGCAGACAAGCAAAATGTCTTGAGTATTACTAATGTGAAGGCACTCAGGCTACTCTTGAGGAATGCCTTTATCTCCTGTAAAGGTGCTCATAAAGGAAGATTATTTTTTTAATGAACTAAAATCATCACCAGCTAGGCACTTAAAGTTTCTGCCCTTGCAATGCTAACCATTTGTCCAAGATTCAATCCTCTCATCTCGCAGAACTAAGTTCCCTGTCCCTCTCCTTGGTCATTCCACAACACACAGAATGTCAGAACTTCAAACCTCAAAGCATTTATTGTGGTATAGTCTTCTCACCAGGTTCAGAAGAACATCAGAAGAACTTTGCTGGATCAGATCAAAGTGTCATGAAATTCTACTCAATATTGATCCAGAGCAGATTCCCTCATACAGTTAGCAGAGTAAAATCTTAAAACAAGTTGCAGGATTCCCAAAAAATAGACCGGAGGCAATTGTATTTTATCCAACAGAGCTTTGCTGCTACTGAAGGCAAATGAGCAGAATGGTCACAAATCCAATACATTCAGAATTGGCACTGTCCAGAAGAAATCCAGCTGCAGCAGACTTAAACTTACAATACTTACAGCAAGTCTAAACCTTAACACTATATACAGAACACTACACCAGAAGGAAAAGAGATAGAAAGAGAGAGTGAAACCCAGGCTCCTTCTAGCCTATTTTTATAGCCAGCAGGACCTTGACAGAAAGAGATAAGAGAACCAGTTTAAGCCAGCTGTACTCAACTTCTCTGAAGGAATAAGCCAAACATCGTGAACCTTCTGCTTGTTTCTTTCACACAGAGAAGCTTCCAGAACCCTCTTGTATTAAGTAGATTAGAAAAGATCTCTACACATCAGATCAATACTTTCTGCACTAAGAAATGCAAACTGACACAAAGGTCTGCCGATTAAAGGTCCATTCTGCTCCCACAGTGGACAACCAACTGCTTCAAGGACCCACCAACCTGCAACCAGGGGATTAAGGGAATGGCCCTCTCTGGCTGTTGCTGTCCAGTGATTGGCATTCCGTATTATACTGCAGCCATCATGACTAACAGCCACAGTTTATTAGCTGTGCCTCTACTGCAGTGATATTAAAATATGTCGGTCAAATGGGCATTTGGAGGTAGGAAGTCTGTGATTCTGCAATATTTAGAAATGGTTGAGAAGACTTGAGAAGGGGATTGCATTGCTTTAGAGAAAGAGGTCCCTTGGGGATGGGGGGGACGGGACACACAGATAAAATGCAAAAATGCATGTATAAAAGAAAACTGCTCCTACCTGAGAAGGACATCGCACCTCGGGCATCTCTGCAAGATAATAGGGCTGCTTCTGTCCATCTGGTAACAGCTGGAAGACAAGATGTGAGCACTGTGAGGCTCAGGCAGCAGATCAGTTCAAAGGGTGCATTTTAGCCTCTTGTAGACTAGACCTAAGGGATGTGGGTGGCGCTGTGGTTTAAACCACAGAGCCTAGGACTTGCTGATCAGAAGGTCGGCGGTTTGAATCCCCACGATTTGGTGAGCTCCCGTTGCTCAGTCCCTGCTCCTGCCAACCTAGCAGTTCGAAAGCACATCAAAGTGCAAGTAGATAAATAGGTCCTGCTCCGGCGGGAAGTTAAACGGCATTTCCGTGCACTGCTCTGGTTCGCCAGAAGCGGCTTAGTCATGCTGGCCACATGACCCAGAAGCTATCTGCGGACAAACGCCGGCTCCCTTGGCCTATAGAGCGAGATGAGCGTCGCAACCCCAGAGTCGGTCACGACTGGACCTAATGGTCAGGGGTACCTTTACTTTAGCTATAGGATAGACCTGCAAGTTTAATTCAAGGCAATTAGCACTACATCTGATGAGGAGGTAAACTTATTTCTTGACTGAGACTGTAGACTACGGCTCATGCAGGAAACAAAATGTCCCCCCCTCCACTAAAAATTAAAAACAAAAAAAGCTACATCCTTGCATTTAGAAAATGAGCATGTCAGTCAGAAGGCAAAACCAGACAAATAACAGATCACTTCCAGCAAATGATGACCATTCAAAGTGGCCCTAAGAGTTTTGCTTTCCAACTTTTCTCAACTTTTGTGAGGAGCGTTTTAGATTTAGGGAACCGACTGGTTAAAAAAGTGAAAAGTGCATGCTTGGCTGGCTGGCACACAAAATAATGATTGAGAATAGAACAGGGATACAATGAAGAAAAACTGAAAATTGAGAAATAAGACCTCATGGGCAAATGAAAATTTCATGAAACTGAAAATGAATGGATGACCAATTGAAATAATACATTCGCAAGCTGTTAATACTGGCAGTCATTTCCACAGGTTTAAGATTAAAACTACTGTACTTAAATAAAAGATACTTAAATAATTAAGGAACAAAGATTCAGCCACACCAGAGAAGCATAGGCCAGTTTTCCTGCTAATTTCTAAAAGGGGCTTGCAAAAAAACTGAATCCTGTCTTGTGGGTCACTAAAGCTTTTTCCATCTCCCTTTGAGACATGAGTAGTGCTAGGCACCATCTGGCAGGGGCATGTTTGCAGCATAAATGAAATTCAATGGGGGCACATCCAGAGAGACAATGTCTTTACAGTCATGTACAGAAAACATCTCAAAACCTTGCTGAGATGACTGATATCTAAATTGCTTAAAAGGTAAAGGTACCCCTGCCCGTACGGGCCAGTCTTGACAGACTCTAGGGTTGTGCACCCATCTCACTCAAGAGGCCGGGGGCCAGCGCTGTCCGCAGACACTTCCGGGTCACGTGGCCAGCGTGACATCGCTGCTCTGGCGAGCCAGAGCCGCACACGGAAAACGCCGTTTACCTTCCCGCTAGTAAGCGGTCCCTATTTATCTACTTGCACCCAGGAGTGCTTTTGAACTGCTAGGTTGGCAGGCGCTGGGACCAAACAATGGGAGCGCACCCCGCCGCGGGGATTCGAACCGCTGACCTTTCGATAGGCAAGCCCTAGGCGCTGAGGCTTTTACCCACAGCGCCACCTGCGTCCCCTATCTAAATTGCTTAGGCCAAGAGAAAAGCAATCACTAAGCACTTCCATGCCAGCGGCAACCAGCTCAAACCATAATGCTGCCCACATGCAAAAATGCATCTTGCTATTGTTGTTTGCTGGAGGGTGGTGCTGTCAGCCCAGTGCTTTGCTTCATTACAGGCCCTTCCACGTGCCCTGCAAGAGAATGAAGCCAGGGGAAGGGGCTGCGGTTGGGAAAATATGACTTGTGGGGCAACCAATGTTCTGAAATGGAGGGTGGTACTTTGAGGATCTTCTAGAGAATAGTGCCTCCCTAGTGCCATATTGGCAGGACTATAGGGCAGGAGCCCAATGAGCAAAATGAGCAGCAAGGGCTGTTTAATATGCATTAAATGCTACATATTTAAAATGCTATGCACAGCAGTTTGCATTAGGCAGAAGGTTTAACTATAGCAAATGCAGCGAGGGTTTAAGGCTAATTGATGACTCATCCCAGGAACCCAAGCAGAGATCTCTCACAACAGGAAGATGAAGCCTGTAAACTCAGAATATTAGTGCTGGAGCCATCAGCAGCAGAAGCGCAGCTCAACAACCCTGAACAAGCAATATGCTTGTATATGAACTCTCTTTCTGGGACCAGCAAGAGGAAAGTTTACTGAACTGTATTAAGGACTAAAAAGAAGACTGGAACCACACTGTTTGCTGTTTAAGAGCAATGAGTTGATTTGTATTTTGTAACATTTAATTTTAACAGTTTTAAGACTGTTCTGCAGCAAAGCTTTGAGACTCATTCTTATGGTGGAGAGCAAATTCATTTATACTCTGCAGAAGGTCCAAATCAAGGATTCAGTTCTGCAACAACTCTACCAAGGAATGGCTTACAATAGGAACTTAATGAAGTGTTCCCATCTAGAGAGGAAGGCCCCACAAAACAATTAAGCCCAGAGTCTAAAATAAGCCAACTACACTGTCCCAGCCACCTGCACAGCCCTTGAATATAAGCAGGCTTTCTCCCAATTACTGTTTCAGACAGTAATTCATACAGAATAGCATCAGTATGCATAGAATTCATCTTCCCAAATCACTATAACTTTCCTGTTTCTCTGATTTTCTTCTGGAGTTATATTCCCAGGATTTATAGAACAGGGATTTTTGGAGACATTTTACTTTTAACATGAAAGAAGGTTGCCTATAAGGGAAACTCTTTCGCTAAATAAAAATGAAAGATACATTTAAAGAAATAATCAGACTGTCTGCATTAAACATCTGGCGGTGATGACTGCAGTATGCAAATAAGCTGCTGAATACATTTCTGTACAACCATGTGCCAGGGTTTGAATAAGTCAAAGGCAGAGATCTGCTCTCTGCTGACTGCGTGATGGCCAGGGTTGACTGGATTTGTAGTGCAACAACATTTGGAGGGTCACAGATTTCCCACCTCTGACTTAGCAGAATGACACCCAAGTCCAAGCTGCTCCAGGATCTGGCAGCTTCCCCAGGACTAGTGTTGTTATCAGTGTATGGCTCATTGCCGGTCCAATAAGACAAGAGAGACCAAGACTTCAAAGATGGGAATCAGCAGTGCAGATAATTTGCAAAGCACTGATCAGATGGACCTTTTAAAACACAGGTAAAACACCAGTTGTGCAAACGTGAAAAGCATTCATTGCCGTAAGTCACCATCCTTAAAGTTCTTGACCTTTATGTTACACTAGTTCTCATTCTGATGGGCTGAGGTAGTTTTGCATTAGCTTGTGGGTTTTGTTGTGCTGTTCTGATGGGAGCAATAGAGTCTCCTTGTCAGAGATGGCGATCAGATAAACTCGCCCTGTGCTTTTTAAATACTGACAGTATCTTGCATGTCATCTGACCTTGCACAGATTGCAGCCAACCATCCAACAGAGATTAGTGATAAAGAAATTACCCAGGGGAAATAACTTAATGCAAACCTCTGTTAACTTCTCCTGGAAGCACGAGAGCCAAGATGTTGGCAGCGAAGTGGCTCTTTGTTTCTTTAAAAGTGTGGGCACTAAAACTCTGTAGAAGACCCAAACTCCTCCTAAACAAGCAACCATGCTTGAGAAAATCTCTTTGGCTTGACATTACATCCCAGGCTCCAGACAAACCACACACAGTAAGCAAGCATTGTTCTTGTTCGGAGGAGACAAACCATGAGTCTGGCTTGGGCATAATGCTAAGCCAAGCCAAGCCAAGCCAAGCCAAGCCAAGCCAAACCAAGCCAAACCAAACCAAGCCAAACCAAACCAAACCAAACCATGGCTTAGGTCCCAGCAGCACAACAACAGCAGGAGTAGGGGAGGAATGAATCAGCTATGATTTCCCCACCATGCAACCAGCTTGCTTGCTTGTTCACACAAAGCCATAATATGGTTTAGTGTTACATGCAAATATGAAAGGTGGCCTTCAGCCCTGGTAAAGGAAACCTTACGTTTTCATGCTAGGGTGCTACTAATATTAATGTAATTTTCAAAAAGCATACAAAGAGATTTGCTCATAGGGCATCAAAATAGTAAAGGTTGGGTAGCTTATAAGGGAGGGTTGGTTACAAAGTGCTACCTTTCCATGTAACCATCCCCTCTTAAGTCAGTCAACAGCATCATCCTGCCAATTAGTGGATTTTGGAGGTCTTTGGAAGGAGAAGGCTGCATTCATCCTCCCTGGAAGACGGCTAGATTACCAGGTGGTAACATGAACCCTGGTGATAAGTGACCATTTGGTAAATGGTCTTCTGTATACATGCACCCAGTTGCAAGGCTCTTTAAGAAAAAGACAGGGGAAAGGGGCAGTGGCGTAGTTAGCCACTTGGGTGCCTGGTGCGGGGGTGTCTCCTGCAGCTGGGGGTGGGGTGAGCTGCCTGTGGGGGTGGGGTGAGCTGCCCATGGGGGCAGGGCGATCCACCCATGGGGGCGGGGCGAGCCTCTCCAACGCTTTGAGCCTCTCTGCCCCTCAGCTGTAGGGCGGCTGAGGGAGAGGCAGTAGGCAGACACAAGTCCCATGCTGCTGTTTCAGGCAGCACAGAACCTGCAGGCACCTAAGCCACCACGTCACTCCTAAAAAGTTTCATGAGTGCAATTTTTTTCATTAAAAAACCCTCATTTTGTCACACACACCCCTCAGTGATGACACCTGGGGCAGAGCACACACCACACCCCCTCCTTCCTCCACCATTGGAAAGGGGGCACCCACAGCATTTTTGGGAAAAAAAAAGTTAATCCAAGTTTCTCTGCTCAGCTGAACAGTGGCTGATATTTCAAGGCTAAAACACAAGAGAAAGTCAGCCACTTGTTTGCCGTGTCTATCAATCTGCATAACTAACTTTAAATTAGAATTCAGGCATGATCAGCTCACAATCCCCCTTCCTGATTAAAGAAATCAAATGCAAACCAAATAACCCAGGAGGAGAACCCACTCCTGTATCTTATCAGGGCATCCGACCTGCAATAAAAGGAGGGCTGAGACAAGAACTTTGACGTTATCCTTGCAGGTGTTTATAAATGAGAGGAAGATCAAGATAACTGCAAGCAGTTCTTTTCATCTAAGGTTGCAACCTTGATTCCAGTCTTTATCTCTTGGCCAACCGGGCAAAATGCCCATGGCATTAGAGTGAACTGTATGCAAATAGGAGTTGGTGATCATCCTGGGGCTTTAGCTGTAGCTGCCGCTAATGGCTGTATCACATGGTTTTGCTTCCTCTTTCCAGGATAGATGCCCATGTACATCCAATGCTTTCAGTTGTTTCATAACAGGGCAAACAGCACTTTCCACTGCGCCAGGGGTCCTTCCAATTTAGCAAGGCTCCAACACACCTACACACCAACACACACACCCTCCAATTCATTTTTTCCTGTCTGTTATTCTGTGCAGGACGCGGTCTTGAACAATGGGAACAGGAAGAAGGTGAGAATGTTCCCGCAGTACTTTGGATGTTATAGTCTACAAGTGGGACCCATAGCAACACCACCACCACCAACAACAGCAGCAGCAGCAAGCAACAACATTATTTATATGCTGTCCCAGCCACACTGGGCAGCTCCCAACAAAGTATTAAAAACACAATAAAACACCAAACATTAAAAACTTCCCTATACAGGGCTGCCTTCAGATGTCTTCTAAATATCAGAAAGTTGTTTATTCCTTTGACATCTGATGGGAGGGTGTTCCACGGGGCAGTCGCCACTCCCAAGAAGGCCCTCTGCCTGGTTCCCTGTAACCAGTGGCGTAGCGTGGGTTGTCAGCACCTGGGGCAAGGCAAGTAATTTGCGCCCCCTAACCCATGGATTTGCGCCCCCTAACCCGTGGATTTGCGCCCCCTAATCCGTGGATTTGCCCTAACCCCAGATGTTGCGCCCGGTGCGGCCGGCCCCCCTGCACCCCCCACGCTACGCCACTGCCTGTAACCTCACTTCTCACAGTGAGGGAACCACCAGAAGGCCCTCGGTGCCGGATCTCAGTGTCCGGGCTGAACAATAGGGGTGGAGATGCTTCTTCAGGTATACTGGGCCGAGGCCATTTAGGGCTTTAAAGGTCAGCACCAACACTTTGAACTGTGCTCAGAGTCGTACTGGGAGCCAATGAAGATCCTTTAGGGCCAGTGCAGAGTGCTTCTGCTATCCTCCAGGACACTCCATAGCTAGCAGGACCAGTGGTCAGGGATGATTGGAGTTGTAGTCCAAAAACAGTTGGAGATCCAAGTCTGGGAAACCTTACTCTATTCCATTCTTCCCTCCCAACCAGTTCTTCATTCCGCCCCCTCCCCCAACAGTCAGTCACTATCTCATTGCCATTGAGCATACTCATTCTTCATTGGCCTTTTTTGGGGGGGTAGGGATAGGGTATCCTCTCCTTTGGTGACCTGTGCAGGACCTGAGTGTGAGAGCACTCTCCTCTCCTGCAGTCTCCAGCAACTGGTATTCAGAAGCTTTGATGCCCTCCAACCATGGAGGAAGAGCATAAGCTATGGCACCCATGACTGAACCTCAGAAATGGGCAGAAATAAATGAATGGCTGTTAATGGTGATGTTGCAGATTGAACATCAGACTTAGGGTTGGGAGAACCTGGGTTCAAATTCCTGCTTTGTCATGAATCTCTCTGAGTTACCTTTGCCTAATCGCTATCTCAGAGGATCATCTCCATGAAGATAAGAAATGGGATACACACCCATGTGATCTACCTTGTGCCTCTTCTCAGGAAAAACAAGATGCAGCCATGAGAGAAAGACAAATAGTCAATCTGATCACAGAGCAGACAAAGTTATTTACAGCCTTCTGAGGAGCCCGTGTCTTGGACAGCATGCCTGACCTAGAGTTTTACAGGAGGACCGGGAGGCGGGGATAAGCAAAACAGCAGCAAAATACCTTAAGAAGGGAAGGGCCAAACGCAGCCCAGTAAAGACTGAGCCTATTCAGTGTCCACAGAATACTAACTGTCGGCTGAGGTGGGAAATTAGTGTGCGTGTTGGTGGGGATGTAGAGGAATGGAATATCCTGGAAAAAGAGGGTGCTAAACTCAAAATTTGCAACTGGAAAGGAAAGCGTTATTTGGCATTAGATATTTCAGCTTTGCTCTTCTTGATGAAAGAAGCAGTTGCCAGCTAATTTCATCCTCTCATTGTTGCCCTGATTCCTTCATGATACTGTTAAAGCGATAATACCCTCTCCAATAGTAGACTCCCCAATGGGCCAGTGTGGTCATGCAACCGTGCTCAGCAACCTATTGAGCAATCCCAATGTCTCTAGTACCTCTTACCATATTGTTCCAGAGTCCAACTCCGAGAACAGCAAATTTGTTTTTCATAAAAGCCTTTTTTGCGGAATAGTCATTATCTCGCCTGCCCTGGAAGAGAAAAAAAAAATTCTGATGAGAATATTACAGAACAGTTTTGAATTCACTGCCTGTACGCTCTAGCTGTGGGCCCATGTGTGGTGAACCTGGGGTTACTGGGGTCGGGAAGCAGACAAAAATGACAAGACGAATCTTGGGATCAAATTGGGGCCATAACTTTATTGATTACAGATGTAAGTAGGCTTTGGCTTATGCATTGGGTATGTATCCTGAATCAACCAACCCAACTGCTAGTCGATCCTGGGTTAAGGATCCCACCATGACACACAACAAATGGAGCGATTCCTCCAGGACGCCATTTGGGAAGTTCTATGGGTCGTTAGCCCCCATCAGGGCATTCAGACAGAATCCTTCCCCCTGGACCCCTTTACCGGGGTACCCTGATACTTGATCCTGAAAGGGGGGTAGGGCTCGTTCCCACCCCACCCCCTTGTTTAGACTAACGATCCAACCCAATGCCTTCTTTCACTAGCAAGTTGTGACAGTTGCTATGAGGTGGGGGAAAACCTCAGATTGGCCCAGCTGGTCTGCAGGCACATTCCTCCCTGGTCCCAAATATGGCGACCAATTAGTTCCATAGCACACGTGCTGCCCACTTGCCATCAGGCAGAGCCAAATGTATGGGAAGGGTGGGTGGGATGTCTGAAGACTGACTGCCCTGCTACCTCTGAGTGTAGCTGATTTAAAGGGATTGGCCACAGATCTGACTGAAGCCAGGTGTGCCAAGGTCCAATCACCACCTTTACCTTTTAGGTTGGTCACAACTGAATTTCAAATTTCCTGCCCCATCCCAACCCCATCGTGAGCAGCTGAGGCTGATGAAGCGGTCAGCTGTTCGCACAGGAGGGTTTTGCCTACCCACCCTGGCCTTCCTGGATCTGTGGTGGTCTGCAAATGCCACCGAGAATGGCAATTGGTCTATGTTGTTGGATTCCATGTCCCATCAGCCTTTGTCATCATGGCCAATAGATACATGTCATGATTATTCACTTGCGACCCAGCAAATATTTGACAACATGGCATCTGGGAGTTAGCAGTCTTGTTTTCAATACTTTATAAGCTCTCACAAAAAGAAGGGCTGTAGTTTAATGGTAGAGGGTGTGTTTTGCATGCAGAAGGTCCCAAGTTTAATCCCTGGCATCTCTAGATAGGGAAAGACCCCTGGCTGAAATCCAAGCCAGCCACTGACAGTCAATGTGGATGATAGCGAGCTAGACGGACCAATTATCTGATACAATACAAAATAACTGCTTGTATTCAAAGAATGTCAAGGTAACAAAAGGGGGAAATAGATTCAGGTAGGTAGCCGTGCTGGTCTGACACAGTAGAAATAAAAATAAAAATAAAAAAATTGTCCAGTAGCACCTTAGAGACCAACTAAGTTTGTTCTTGGTATGAGCTTTCATGTGCATGCACACGTCATCAGTTACCAAGAACACTTCTTCAGATACCAAGAACAAACTTAGTTGGTATCTAAGGTGCTACTGGACTTTTTAAAATTTATATATATATATTTCAAAAGGGGGAAATAGTTTGCTGTTTTTCATATTCCCTTTTTCATATGAAGAAAATAAAAATCATCTAGATTGCATGGATTGTCTTCCCTGACACATGGAAAACTGATTTCCCTTGCAGGCCAAAAATCATATCATCTGATTATTCTCTTCAAGGTACAGTGATTTTTCTAGGACCACCAGGTATTACCCAGAAGGAACACCTCAACCATAGCTCACACTCACTTTTGCAAGAGGCATATTTGCTTCTTGGAGAGAAGTCTGGAGAACCACGGCAAAATCATCCTTCTGGCCATACTTCCTTGATGCCAGCAGATTTTCCAAAGAATTCTGCATATAAGGATAAGCAAACAGTTAACAGGATGAACTCTGTCCCCGAACCACAGAGAACATAGCACAATGCACAGATTTGCCCATGGCTTAAATGAGTTTCAGAGCCATCTCTACTGCTAATAAGCCAGAATAATCAAATTATACAGTCAAAACACAAAAGTAATTCCATGAAAAAGCATCTTATGCAACCGTTAGGAAATGACCCAGCGGCTGCGAGGTGAATTGCATAAGGCCGTTTTCTTAGAAAGAGCAGAAACCTAGTAATTAGATCATGTGGTTGGCCCTGCATAAAGCTCAGAAACAGGAACATCCCAGCTAGCTAACAGTGATGACAGGCAGAATCCGTGACCAACGAAAAGAGACGGTGGAAGAAGAATGGAGAAAATTTAAAAGTTATCTTAAGGACTACTATAAACTTAATGAATGCTAAAATGTTGCGGTTTCTAGAAACAAAGGGATACAGGGATATAAGGTTAGAAATGTAAAAAAGGACTAAGAAGATAGAGATTGGAAAATAACAATTGGGAGTTGCTAGTTGAACTTTGGACATTGGGATGCAGAGAGGGGGGGTATGGGGAAGTCAAAGGAAAGAAGTTTATGAAAATATGTTTGAAACTATACGTGTATGTTTGTCATTTTTGGTGTTTGTTTGTTTTTTGTTTAAAAAGTTTCTAAAACCAATAAAAATTTTATAAAAAAAAAAAAAAAAACAGTACAGGATATGGGCAGCTTTTGCCACCTGCTAAATATTCCGACAGGCTTTTGCAGTAGAGACAACATAATTAACCAGCTTGGCAAACAGAGCTTTCATTAGCTACAGCTGGGATAGCACAGATCCTCAATTCTCCCCTCTGCAGTTGTTGTAACAGCATTTGAAAAATTTGGGATTTCAGCTGTCATGTATCACTAGGATATGCAGGGCATTTTTAAAAGCTTGCTCCATCACTGGCACCTCCAGTGCTGGGAAATAACCTTTTCTGCCGGTCAGCATAGGCAATGTTGAACTAGACGGATGAACAGTTACACTCTGTATAAGGCAGCTTCCTAAATATATTCCCACCTCCCCCCCACCTCGGTTGCTGACACAAAATTCTCATGAAATAATGAAGGCAGCATACCTTATGCAAATGCATTATGCAAACTAGACAGCTTTACTCAGTTTGCATAACTGATAGATTTATGTTGAAAACAAAGAGGAAGGGTTGTATATTATTTGTGTTTGGAGGCCCATAATGCGCAAGAGCTGTAGGCACACTGGCATCTGCACTGAGATTCCTGAGCTGGACAGAGTTGATCCTGAGCCAACTCTGTTGCTTGAAGAGGGGAAACCAAATTTATTCATCCATTCCCTGCCACCATAACTTCCTTGGAGGAAGAATGCAATACAAACACGAAAGGGATACATACGTGATCCTAAAAAGATTAACGTTAAAGGGATCCAAGACTCTAAAACTATTTAGATGTCATGTCAAATTGATTTTTGGACAGATATACACAGATGAATGTGAGTTCTCCCTTGCACAGTGCTCACCTGATAGGACCATCTCCACACAGCCACCTCCAGACTGGAACAATTGTTGGGACAAAGGCATGGCTTGAGGAGAATATCCCTGGAAGGTGGCAAAAGCCAAGCCAAAACATAAATAAATGAAATAAAAATTGCTGTAGCTTTTCATAAACATGCAATCTTTTGAAACATAGAGAGGAGAGATTTGTGCTGTGATTCATATGCATTTTAGAAACGTATATGTTTCATAGGGCTTCTCCAGACTGGTGTCTTACTGCGAGGGTATTCAGCAACATGTTGTTGACACAATAACAGTGCATGTGTGGTGGGTTTATGCTGCTAATATTTATGCTGCTAGAATTTATGCTGCTAGAATTTGCTGTGTGATGCTTCCTCAATGCTACCACATGATTAATGTCCAGAGGGGCCATAGGGCAACAAAAATGGGGAGAAGGGGGATAAACCATAACACTATTTACTTTTTATTGCACAGTAGAAGAAAAGGCCTTTCTGCTGTTTGAATTAAAATAAGAAGAATATAAGATCAGACTGAATATAGGACAAAATCAAATCAAAGCATTTATGGTATAAAAAGTTACACGATATCAGCAATTAAACACATTGATTGGAAATGAAGCATCCCCTCAAACCTTTTGCAGGCATAAACTCTATTGAATGTGGAACTGGGTATAACTTCCTTGCTAGCATTCTGAGCACAATGAATCATGACATATGCCCCATACGCTCAACAGACAGTACCACACTTCTAAAAGATAAAGAAGCTATTGCATTGTGCTGGAAAGAACATGACCAGTATCCCCTTAACTGCAACTCTGTCATAGCTGCTGAGGTCCTCTCAAAAATTCTCTTGGGGATGCCTCTAACTCTGAGGTTCTTGTATTGATTGAGCAGGAGGACAGACTACATGACCTATAAGCCCTCATTGCAATTCCATGGAGTCTCACTCCCTCCTTCTCTAGCTTAGAATTTGACATACAAAAAACAATTTTCAGCCACCCATATCAAAACATAATGTGGCGTGTTTTCCCCTAACTATGGTGAAAAGTTCTCAGAGGTCTGCAGAAATAACTTCCAGCACTCCAAAAGGAAGACAGACCACCACAGGTATATCCAAATAAATAACTAGAATTTGTTATTTGATGATGACGTAAAATGTGGGTAGTGGAAGAAAGCTGATTCACCAAATGACTTTAAAGTTTGGCAAAATGGCCTGAGTAGGGTCAAAGGGGAAGGTTTCCCACAGTTGATCCTAATTTCCAGCATAGAGAAAGCAGCCTGCTTTGGAAGTTGTGATTAGTTGAGGTGACGGATATTTGGCAGACCAAGGTGAACCCTTTCAGAAGCGCAATCAGGATGACTATTGATTTGGTATGCGGTACAGCAATCTTTTTATATCCCTGTCACAAAACGCCTCTGGAGAAAAATGAACACTCCTCAGCAAGGAACACAATGAGAGCTCTTGGCTCATCAACAGCTGCAATAAAATGGGATTTACCTGACATAATTCTGATCATTGTGTGGAAGAGGTGAGACTGTGAGCAGAGGAGAATCCACCAGGTTTACAAAAACTTTGGGCATCTATAGTGATTAAAAAAAATGATTAGGAAAAGCTAGCAGTTGTGGACTATTCACTTTCACCAGAAGATTTTCTCTTAAATGGCTGCACCACTTGTATTCATCAGGGTCCATCCATATCTCAGTGTAGACTGTGACTCCCTTGTGCCTCTCTTAATTCCCCTTTCTCCATGCAGTGTTCTCCCTCAACTACTGCTGCCCCACACTTTCTCCCCTCTAAATCTGGAGACTCCCTATGCTTTGGAAATGCAAATAGGAATCTCCGGATTTGGAGAGCAGAAAGTACAGGATGCCAGTAGCTGGAGGGAGGAGAATGCATCATGGTTGAGGGGGGATTGCATGACACACAAAGGGTTCACAGTCCACATAAAGCCAAGATATGGATGGGCCCTCAATTGATTTCTTTCCTGGACAAGGGACAAATAAATGAATATTGGCAGTTTCTGCTCCCATTTACACTTGTATTCTCCAACATCACCAGTCTGCTGTTTTATTTGCTTATTGATTTGAATTTGATTTGGAGATACACACACACACACACACACACACACACACACACACAGTGGTACCTCAGTTTTTTAACATAATCCATTCTGGAAAACTGTTCGAGTTCTGAAACGTTCAAAAACCAAAAACTCAACAGCCAACAGCTAGACCTCAGGATCTTGCACTCAAGCAGAAGCCGCATGGCATGTTTGACTTCCGAGGCGTGTTTGAAAACCGAAGCATTTACTTCCGAGTTTACGGCATTCATAAACCAAAATGTTTGTCAACGGAGACGTTCAAAAACCAAGGTACCACTGTGTGTGTGTGTGTGTGTGTGTGTGTGTGTGTGTATTATGGGAGTTGTTTTATACTGCAATGCAAACTAAAATAGGAGATGGATATTATAAACAGAAACAGCAATATATAACTGCCTTACATAAACAAACTAATACATTGAGCTGAGATTTCTGCAGTTTAGGGAGTTGGACTAGATGACCCATCTAGTCCAACTCTGCCATTCGATGATTCTATTATCTGAATCAGGTACTGGAAGAGGTTTTACGTGGTCCTTGTTATTTTAAACCATGTGCAGCCATACCCACTCATTCTACATGCCTATTTTGTAGTTTGTTTTCCTCTTTTAAATTTCATCTGTTATAATGGTTCTCTCTGTTTTATAGACATTATAAAAGGAGGGGGAGGGGAAAGGTGTTGAAATCTATGAAATAGCTCTTACTTCTTCATATAAAAAATCCAAGACTTCTTCAAGTTGTTTTATGCTGTCAAGGTGGGAAGTTGTCTGTTGGAAGTGAAAGGATTTATGTTAGAGAGTGGATGAGGAGGTGATGGTTCATTTTTATACCAAACAAAAGGCTGACAAAATAGCTGTCCCCCAGCATTCACCAACAAGTGAATGAATCAAGGTTGGGAACTACAGACTAAACAATTGGTGCAAGAGGTAGAATCACAACTTTCAAAAATGAAAGGCCTCTGACCTTACATAGAACTGAAATATGCCCATCAACTCTGCAATGAGAATCTAATGTTTTTACGTATCATAAAGAGGTCCTTAGAATGGCACCAAATGGAAGAACCCAGGGGCAATATATTGATCTATATTCTTCCATCACTTTGAGAGGAAGCAATCAAGAGGTGAGCAGACAATCCAATTTGAACTAGGCTTTTCCCAAGACTGATTAATCACTGGATGAGTAGCCCTTAGCTAATAGTTTGAGGATTGCATTCTTATGAATTTTAGAGAATGAGAGAGGGGAGCGGGGAGCAACTATTGCCTTTCAAATATTCATATACAGTTATCACCTCTGCAGACTTCAAACAAAGTAATTTGCAGAGAGTTGATTAAAGCCCTGAGGAGGGAATGTTGCAGAGCCTGCCGTATAACACAGGCTGTTTGGTGCAATATGCACACAAAGGTAAAAGACCCGAAATGAAAATTGTACTTTGTTCTTTGGAAGGAGTTGTATGGACCAAGGATAAATGCGTAGCATTGTCAGGGAGGAAAAAGCAAACCATAAATTAAAATAACGCACACCTTCAATTGATTTGAACAATGTCCAAATGGGGGTATTCGTGAAATTGATTAACAGTATGCAAAAAAGCAGAAATATTCAAATATCAAGAGCAGAGGAAATAAGATCCCCCTGAATGCTTGAATGGCTCAGTGGGGCAGGCAAAGGGGAGAATACAGAGGTATCAGAAACTAGGTAAGAAATAGGGAAAGAGGACTAGATTTAAAAAGAAAGAGTCTTGTACATTCTAGGCAAAGCTAGAAGAAAAATAAATATATTTTAGCACCTTAAAGACTCATATTTTTTATGATATGATCTGCTGTGGAGCTGTTATCCATGATAACAACATCAACATTTTAAACCATATTTATGAACCTAATTCCTTGGTCAATTTGGCAAGTCAAGACATGGGACTCTTACCTGAGAGATGGACGCTTGGAAAGGACATGGATGGAAAATTGTGATGAGCTTCCAGTCATGTTGGTAATCTGTCTGCTGCAGGGTAAGAGCACAAGGAAAAACAACTGTCACACTGCAGATTAATAAGGGAATAGGAATCAAGGTGTGTATGAGTGGATTCCAGCAAAACAAGGACTAGTACAATAGGAAGCTTATTCACTTTGGCTCTGACACAAATAATGTGGCATCCATGTCTCTTTTTAGGACTCACCTTATTCTTTTTATTCTAAGTTGTTTTAAACTATTTTTAATATTGGGTTTTAACGTAGGGTGAAGGATGGGTAAACGCTAGTACTACTACTACTAATAGATTTGAACATATATTGTGGAAGTCCAAATGCAGCTGGCATTAGACTCTGCCAACTGAGCCACCATTTTGCATCTAGCTTGACCCCTGCCAGCCACTGTTTTGCATTTAATGCCACTTACTGGATCTCAGGTTTCTAGTTTAAAAAAAACCCCAAAGTAGACCTCGCAGGTGTGTAACCTGCCCACCTGTTTCCCAGATTTGGTGTGTGCTGTTTTTCCAACTAAGAACACCCAGTGATATCTGCCCTGCAAACCACCTTTCTTCAGGTGGTATCATCTTCACTTTGGAAGTGGGGAGGTAGATGTGAGAAATTACTGGCGTCTGAATGCTTCGGGGAGGCTTTTATAAAGTATTAGCCCTTGTGGGGAAACAGCACCATTTGGACTTCACTACAAAAAAACAACAACCCTGCGTCAGCAACAGCGAAGCCAATTCGAGAGGCAATCACAAACATAAATAAACCTTTGTGGGCCACAACTGCTCACTGGTCTATAGTGTTGGTTAGGGCTGTCTTAAGCATATGTGGCGCCAGGGTGCAAAGATCCACCCGGCACCCCTCTCCTGGTTGCCCAGTCACTGGCTTGGTCCCCCCTGAACTAGCAGCACAGAGACGCCCTCAGCAGAAGAGCTCGCGGCAGCGCTCTGACCAACAGACGGGCTCTTCCTGGGACCATAGCTGTCAACGTTCCCCTTTTTTTAAGGGAAATTCCCTTATTCTGAATAGCATTCCTCGCAAGAAAAGGGAAAAGTTGACAGCTATGCCTGGGACTCAACTCTCGGGCCCCGGATTCTCGGCCTGGCGCCCCTGAGAGCCCGGCGCCCAGGTGCCCTACACCCCTAGCACCTACGGGTAAGACGGCCCTGGCATTGGTGTACATACCTGGCTCCCTTTCATGTTCTTCACAATTTCTTTAGCTTGATCTAAGAGATCTCTGCACCACAAATGAAAAGGGGAAATTGTCAAATAAGCCTTTATGCTTTATAGGCACAAAGACGAAATGCTAACAGCATAAAAAATCTATAACGCCTTCCTAATCGTTTTTGATGAGGTCATGTGGCTTGATCCTGCAAGTACTTAGGGGCAGTAATGCTTTTAAAAGTAAAATCTCAGGCCGAACTGAATGTTACACTTCAGCCAAAGTGCACAGCAGCATTTGTTAATTATAGGCATCGGGGGGGGGTATCTTATTTTATTGGAACACAGCACAGTAAAACCTCCCTATCTGTGACTGGGATGACAATCTGCCCCACCTCCCCACCCAAAAGGCTGTGAGGAAAGTCAATGTACCCATCATACATTTTAAATTTGAACAGAATGCAGTTCTGCTTTTCTTCAGGTAGAATGTGGGTACCTATGGCAGAAGTTTGTTTAGTGCAGAAAGCTAGAGGACTGTTTTCTATGTAGTTCCTATGCAGAACTGTACTGAGCAGAAGGCAACAGACCAGGTATTTGGTCTATAAAATAATTAGGTCACTGGAATGATCTAGTAAAGGTGGAGTGGTTTTTTTGTACATTCCTTGGCTGTGTGAAACTAGAAAGTTTTCATTTGCTGTGTCTTTTATCACCCAAATAAGCCTTCCAGTTCAATATGAAGTAGCAAATAAAAATAGAACTTACAGGGTCCCACTTCTTGGCACTGCGCTGCTGTTTCGAAGGGAAGAGTAATTCTGCACGGAAGGATTAAACCTGCTAATAAGAGCTGCAAGACATACACCCAGTTCAGTAAATTTGTGGGCTCTGGATTTGCTTGTAGGAAAATGAGATGACAATGGGCAACCATCAACCTGTTTCCTTGTTTGGGGTTGGTAGAAAGCAGGGAATAGGGGCCTTTGGTTGCCAAGAAATAATACATATTTTTATTGATAAAGTGTTGGGCAATAGATTAAATTAAAGAGAGATCTCATCTGTAAAGTCAAACAGTCAACAGAACAGGGAAAGTTTAAACGATAAGTCATACCTGTTAGTGTTTTCATGCTTGCCGTGATAAGATCCTTCTCTGTGCTATAAACAGAAATAATTCATGTTTTCGTATCTGAAATAGTCATGGTGTGAAACGCAAGGTGTTTTCATTTGAATTTGCTTTTTTCCTCTTCTCTCCCCCCCATCCTTTTCGCCTTGTGTGCCATGCCTTCTGGACTGTAAAGGTGACTCTGTTGTTGTTGTTGTTGTTGTTGTTGTTGTTGTTGTTTTAACTCTTGGATCTGACCCACCAGTGGCTCTGGATCATGACTTCATTGTAAAGTAGGAGGAATTCCTCTTTGGTCTAACGGCAAGGCACTTTTCTCTGGGCTACTAAAACCACATCTTTAGGGTTCCCCTCTGCACTGACTCCAGCCTGTCACTGTCAGGCTTTTTTCACAGCTGGTAAAGTAACTGGCAGGACGCAGGTGGCGCTGTGGGTTAAACCACAGAGCCTAGGACTTGCCGATCAGAAGGTCGGCGGTTCGAATCCCCGCAACAGGGTGAGCTCCCGTTGCTCGGTCCCTGCTCCTGCCAACCTAGCAGTTCAAAAGCACGTCAAAGTGCAAGTAGATAAATAGGTACCGCTCCTGCGGTAAGGTAAACGGCATTTCCGTGCGCTGCTCTGGTTTGCCAGAAGCGGCTTAGTCGTGCTGGCCACATGACCTGGAAGCTGTATGCCGGCTCCCTCGGCCATTAAAGCGAGATGAGCGCCACAACCCCAGAGTCGGTCATGACTGGACCTAATGGTCAGGGGTCCCTTTACCTTTACCTAAAGTAACTGGCACACATGGCAACTGTGAAACATATCTGAAGTTAGTAATAAACATGTTTTATGAACATGATGAAAAGTTGTACCTTTGGAGGTCTGGCTGCTCCAGCTTGGTGTCCTCCACCTGTAAATAAATATACAATGATAAATGCATCAGGACTAAAAACAAACACACCCTGTCTAGTCAGTGTCTGAAGGATACACTGTGAATGACCAAAACAGAACTTTGCATCTTTTCCTGTAAACCTTTCTTACTTTGTCTATAGCGGTGGGAAGGGGGGGGTGGACCTGTGAGATTGCCTGTAAAACCAAAAGCCTTTTTTAAAAAAGGAAAGGGAGCATTGCCAAGCTGAGTAATTTTAAGATCTAGCACAGGAATAAGTCAAATGTGATTTTAATAAGGCTGCCTGCCCTGTCTGTAGTTCTGTGAAGTTTTGCTATGGCCTATTGTTCAGTGTGTGTGTGAGGGTGAAGCTTCAGTATTACAAAACAGACAAATGTGAGCATGTGTATAATTCAGTCCTCTATATTGGATTGGGCTCCAACAAATGGAGCTTTGGGCATTGTTTGGCTAAGTCGGTGCAGTGGCTTGGCGTGTTAATTGAACCAAGATGTTTGCAGGCTACTTTCTGCAAGGGAAGACACTGGGAAGCTAACAAATGGGCAAAGGTCCCGGAGTTTAGTGAATCGAAGGGATTGGGTGTTCAGGGGCAAGAGATCAAATGAATGGTGGAGAGTAGGCAGTTGAATACAGTGGTACCTCTGGTTAAGAACTTAATTCATTCCGAAGGTCTGTTCTTAACCTGAAGCCATTCTTAACCTGAGGTACAACTTTAACTAATGGGGCCTCCCGCTGCCGCCGCGCGATTTCTGTTTTCATCCTAAGGTAAAGTTCTTAACCTGAAGTACTACTTCCGGGTTAGCGGAGTCTGTAACCTGAAGCATTTGCAACCTGAAGTGTTTGTAACCCAAGGTACCACTATAAGAGGAATCTGAGGAAGGAGACTGAGGAAAATGAGGGTGGGGAAAACAAGGCATTGATGCAGGAAAGGGATTCTGTAAAAACTCAACAGTGCTTAGGTTCAATTTGTCTAACCTTCTTTGAAAGTTGGCATGTTCATACAATATGTTGATATGCACTTAGACATTCAATGCCAAATCCAGTGTGTGGAATTACATCACCTGCACCTGACCTTCCTACTGCCTCACCACTCTCCTTAGCAACCCTGGCATTGGGAAGCCAGGTGAGTGATGCCACCCTGCTGCCCATGCCGCCCTGCCAACCACTATTGATTGGCTGGCTGATATCTCTCCTTAATAAAATAGGTGACGCTTGGATGGTCTTTGCTATCAAGTGTCAACATGAATTATCGTGCCCTTTTAAGAATCAGTGACAGATGGCAAGTGCAAGAAGTCTACTACAGCCATCGATCTCAGAAAACAAACCAGAGAATATGCAGGGAGCCTTCCTGAGACAATTTAGCTGACTAACAGGCAGGGACAACTGGTCGCCCTGCTAATCCAACCCTGAACTATTTACTGCAGCTGAATGTTACAGGAGATTGTAACTCAGCATGAGACTCTTAATCTCAGGGTCAAAAGATTCCTGCATTGAAGGGGTTTGGACTCAATGACCCTTGTGGTCGCTTCCACTCTACGATTCTGTGAAGTCCTGAGAATAAGTGATTTGGGGTTTATGTGTGGATTTTGTGTTTTGCTCTGCCAGTTTTCCTGGTTCTGTAACAGGTCATCAAATACTGAGCGGAAGGGCCAGAGCTCAGTTGGCAGAGCATGCGATGTGCATGCAAAGCCTACTGTCAGAAGCAGAATATGCCTCTCAAAACCAGTTGCAGGGAAAGATCATTGGAGAGAGGACTCTTGCGCTCATGTCCTGCTTTGCGGCTTCCCAGAGGAATCTGCTTTTGCCACAGTGCAAAGAGGATTCTGGATTAAGGTGGCCTCTGGGCTAGAAGATGACTCCGATTTTTGCCACAGTGTTCTTTCTGGACAGAGGCAAGGAGGCTGAAGTGAAACCATCAGAAAGGAGAACACAGCAGTAGCCAGAATGAGGGACAGAGGGAAAGAGCCACACACATATATATATATATATATATATGTGCAATGTAAAGGGGGAGGCTGCTACAAACTTGGTGATGGTATTCCTGTCTTCAACTGGGACAAGTTCCCCCCACCCACACAAGTTGGTGTCTCCCAGGAAAGGGGTAACTGGCACCAGGACTGGGATGCCCAGTTAGTGGGGGGGGGCTGTCCAGGATTCAAGGCCACTCTGCCCCCTCACCCTCTTTGTCTTTGCACGCTTTGAGAAGAAGGAGCCTGGGGCTTGCAGCTTCATGGCTTTTAGCATTCTTTTGTTGGATGCCGCCCAGAGTGGCTGGGGAAGCCCAGCAAGATGGGTGGGGTATAAATAATAAATTATTATTATTATTATTATTATTATTATTATTATTATTTAAACTTCTGCCCACTGCCACGTCTTAGTCCAACCAGCCGATCCACTTATGACCAACTGGTTGGTGCAGATCAGCTGGGTGGCCCACCTGAGTACAGCCAGATGATCAGTGGTAAAGGGAGATGCTGCGCAACTTAGTGATGGACTGACTATGAAACGAAGAAGACAATAAATACAAGGCTTCATGCCCATTCAACAGGTTCCATCATCGTAATTGACCTGTTCACACATTGCATGGAAAACATGTGCAGCCTGCTTCTGTACACATGTACAAGTCTTTGTGGGAAAAGAATGTACGCATGTTGATTTGTATACTCAACAGCTGTGTGAAGAGGCACACAGACTGTGTACTTGTTGAATATGACACATGAATGTGCAGCTCAACTTTTTTTGTACAGGTGTGAACACCTCTACAGTGGTACCTCGGGTTAAGTACTTAATTCGTTCCGGAGGTCTGTTCTTAACCTGAAACTGTTCTTAACCTGAAGCACCACTTTAGCTAATGGGGCCTCCTGCTACTGCCGCGCCACCAGAGCATGATTTCAGTTCTCATGCTGAAGCAAAGTTCTTAACCTGAGGTACTATTTCTGGGTTAGCGGAGTCTGTAACCTGAAGCATCTGTAACCTGAAACGTATGTAACCCAAGGTACCACTGTATTGGCAATGGAAAAAGTGAGCATATTAGAAGGACTTGGGAAGAAAGTCAGAGCGTTCAGGTGTATTTGGTTTGAGAGGCTGATGGAAAAGATAGGCAGTTGGAGATACAGAAATGCTTGCTGCAGATCAAGCAGCTATTGAAGGCACAGCTACAGGAGCCAGCTCAGAAGTTGGCAACCCTAGTGCTGGGGACAGGAGGTGGAAAAAACTACCCATGGAACATGGGGGGCCACTTTTTATTTTATTTTCTATACTAAACTATAACCTCACACCAAAGTCAACATCATTCATATTAAATACAGTTTTCCTGAAGAACATGTTACCTTTGATCCCTTTTCCAATAGCGCTCGTTATACTCACATTTCCAAAACCTCCAATAGCAGCAACTGCTTTAATGTCCGATGGACTCAAAGTATGAACTGTAGAGATAAAATGTGGACTGCAGTTTAGAAAAATAGCAGTTTTCCAAATGTCTATTTGCATTAATCGAATTGGAAGTAATGTGTAAGAAGATACAATTAATATCTAGCATTTGTATCGGGTTTTTCGGAAAGGTTTTTCATAAAACTGTAAGAGCTCGGTAGATCTTTAGCATTGCACTTATCCTTTAAGTCTAAGTGTGTGTGCACATGCTTGCTTGCTTACCTTATGACTAGCGCTGAAGACTACTTAAATGAATGAAGTGGTAACTATTTTTAGCTGCTTTTATGCTGTTTGTAAATTGCCTTGAGACACATCATGTAAGAGGTTATCCATAAATCAATTAATTAATGCACAAGTACACACATATATTAATCCCACACTCAAAGTATCCATTTCTTTGACATCCAGAAAAGTGAACCAAGAACTCTGAAATATATTACCAAATTCTCCCCCCACCCCAAATTGTTGAGAAATAAGGTTCCATTATGTCTTATTTTCATATGGTCTGACTGTTGTACATTATATACAGTGCGGTCCTGCAAATGTCTACTCAGAAATAAGCCCTATTAAGTTAAATGGAACATATTCTCAGGTATGTGTGTGAAGGACTGTAGCATAACAGTTCAAAAAGTTTGTCTAAGCTTCCATACACACCATACATTTAAAGTACACCCCCCAAAAAAAACCCACACACCCAAGGAACTGTATTCCCAAGAGACCTCCCCAGCATCCTTAACAAACTACAGTTCCTAGGATTTTATAACGTGGGGGGGGGGTGTTTAAATGCATGCTGTGTATACAGTCTAAGACTTGGGAGAGGAAAGTAAGCATAACTCCCAAATTTCGTATTCAACTCAGTGAATGTCTTCTTCTGCTCTAAATATGTATTTCAAAAACAGATACCTGAAGATGAAGATGAGTGAGGGGAACTTAGCATCTTGCAGGAGAAATGCAAAGGCTGAAAGAAGAAACAAGCATTTTAGAAACAAAATTTAGGGTAAGGCAATAAAAGGAACCGAGGCATGGTTATAGATGAGCTTTTTGAGAGCTCTCTTTCCCCGAAATAAAAAAAGAAGACCACATCGCTATGAAATACAATATCATTTTTGGAAAGTAAGAGGCAGCAAAGAGGCCCACGCTCTGTAAGTCAAATATTTGCTGTTACTTTCCACACACATTTTTAAAAGGTACTCTCTCTTTCCAGTCTGAATTTGGAAGTTCCATCTCCCATAAGACCCACGTCTATTCCAGCTATCCTTTAGAAAAGCTATCCTTTATTCTCAGATGCTTTGAGGACCCTCTCCTTCCCTGGAACATCTTTCTCTGAGTCAAGATGGATCCTACTCCCACCAGTCAAGGCCTTGCACTATAGCTATATCTCCTTCCAATGAAAAGATGAGATAGCACACAACCATAAGACCATAAGATGGGTGGGTCTCGTAGAACATGTCGTAGAACTTCACGTTCTTAGAACATAAAGTTCTATGATAGGAGATGATCCTGTGACGTTTCCTCATTCCCTTTCAGCAGCTGAGGCTTGGTATTGTAGCTCTGAAGATGTCTCGACAGAGGGGCTATCATCTATGCATGCAAACCTAAGACTGCAGGCACAGAATTGCAGGCAAGAGCCTCCATGCATTCACCTGTAGTTATTGCTAGGCTGGGGCCACAAGTGGAAAACTCAGTTTTAAGAAAGCCTAAGTTCGTAAAGTCTGAGAAACATCAATTACTCCTTTCTTCCTGCCATCATGCAGAAACATATACTTGCCTCAGTTTCCATTTCTTCCTTCGTATCATTCTTGGGTGTCAGAACATGAGCTGCAGTCCCTAGAAGACAAAGAAATATGGGTTTTGTTTTATTTCCTTGCTCCCCCTCCCCCCTTGCAATCTATGGCTGTTGATGCATATGGCTGCTTTATTTTTGTGAATTTATGCATTCATTTGCTAATGTCAGAGGCATTTTTAACACTAGTAAATCACAGGATGCAAACAGAGAGGGTAAACATGTGCATATAGCTAAATAACAGCCTGTGTATTTTTCACTGTATTTCAAGTAGAGATGATTACGACCCTATGATTTCAATCCTTTCCTTGGAGGAAGCTCCATTGAACTTAATGAGGCTAACGTATGACTGGACATGCATAGGATTCCACTGCAAACTATTATCTGAAGAAGGAAAAAGGACAGTTGTGCTGTAAAAATTGGACCCAGAGAGAATAATTTGTCTAACCCAGAGATAGGGAACCAGCTGCCCAGTCATCATCCTTGGCTTGGACTGATGGGAACTGGTGGAGTCCAGCAAAATCTGCAGAACCATAAGTTCCTCATTCCTAGTCTAAAGAAAAACGTTATAATTCTGTCAGGTAACTCTGATTTTGAACTTTTAATAGCAAAATTGCTTAGATGATTTGGTCTACATGGTGCTATTTATTTGAGTATATCCACACTTCAAATCCAGTGGTAATTCAAACTCCTGATGGGGAAAGCAGCTATCAGCAATCTGCCCCCATGGTCACAGGCAACATGTCCCTGCTCCTCCCCCTTACAACACACAGACATCCATCTTGGATATAGAGAATTTTTTTTGGGGGGGAATGGTAGGATTTAGGTTGAGGAAAGGGTAAAATGCCTTATTCCCAAAGCATCACTTCCTCAGGCTTCAAAGTAGCTACAGCATACATCAAATTAGTTCCAAAAAAAGAAGGGAAGTGGGAGATCCTAATCATAGATCTCTTTCCCTGCACCTCCAATGTCTGATATGGCCCTTGTCCATTCATCATCTTCTTAGTTCCAGAGGCTTTGTTTTTTGTTCTGCCTTTTCCAGTCGATTATTGGAGGTCCCAATATAAGTGGTTCTTCCAGACAACCTGTTTATTGAGCAATCATCCTGATTTGTTTACACGGAGGTTATATGTCTCCCTGTCAATCAGTCACTGTTCTACACCTTGTTGCGCAGATATTTCCCCACCACTTTCCTAACTGCAAACCCACCAAAATTTAAAAACAATCGTGTTCTACCAGAGCACTGTCATCCACCTTATTTGCACAAACATAGCCCCTCGCCCCAGACATCATTTTTAATGTGCATGATGATTTGTGCTCATGATGGTATTGGGGTGGTGGTGATACTCAGTGCTACTTTCAGTATTGTCTGAACCAGCAAAGGTTTCAGAGCAGACATACAGCTTCATTTCCAATCAATGCATGTCTCTTAACTCCCTGCTGAAATCCTGTAACTTTTCACACCGCTAACATTCCAAATTTTGTTTGCTTTTTTGTTCCACCTTTGTTGCACCATAGCACCACAATGTCCTTCCAGACAGCAGAAACGTGTAACACTGAAGAAGCATTGCAGAATTAGTGTAGTCGTAGTACTTATGCACCCTTCATCCAAGGTCCCAGTGTGCGTTGCAACAATTAAGCCACCATGTTAAAAATGGTTTAAAACAATTTGCAATCACAGAAATAATCTGAGTCCTAAAAAATATGCATATCAAGTGTCAAATTCAGGGTAAAGAGATGTTTTGCGTGAACAAAGCAAAATGATGAGTGGTCAGCCTAGTATCAATTCACTGCTAATGCACTATTATCACATCAAATCCTCCTTGTGATCAACTCCTGCTCATAAACCTTTGTCCCCACTGTAGAAGGATGTGCAGATCCAGAATTGGCCTCCACAGTCATTTACAGACACACCACTAAGACTGTGTTAATGGAAAACAATCTTACCCAGTCACAAGTGATTGCTGAGAGAGAGAGATATCTTATAGAATGCACCTGCCCACTGAAAACCCTACCTCAGTCTGGAGGACCCCCTAAACGTGATATGCGATTGAATCCCTCCTGCAAAATAGCAAGTCTGGAGGTGACCAAGGCATCATATCTAGAACATTTACAGGTGATAAGGGCCTTACCTAAGACAAAAACCAACAGGAGGGAGAATGCCAGCTTCTTCATGCTTCGTTCCTTCCTTTATGAATGAACACTCCTGGAAAAGTGTGAGTTTTGATTTACAGCGACCTATGCGTGGTCATGAAATGGTCTCGTCTTCTGACTGCTTTTTATACCTTGGTGAGCAGATAACTCAGCTGTCATAAATTTTATTGCCCTTTTCGCCATTGAGAAAGAAGGCTATGGGAGCAAAATGATAAAATATTAACATTTCAATGCCACTGCTTAATGTACTTTACACATTGTTACATCTGAGGAGGAGGAGGAGGAGGAGGAGGAGGAGGAGGAGGAGAAGAAGAAGAAGAAGAAGAAGAAGAAGAAGAAGAAGAAGAAGAAGAAGAGAGAGAGAGACAGAGAGAGAGAGAGAGACTAATTTGCCCTTCAAATGCAGGCAGGAACTGCTTTGCAAGTTCCCTTTTTCTGTGTGTCAGTATCCCATAATATGCCCATCCAATAAATCCACGCATGCTGCATTCATTACACTCCTTTGCTCACCTGTATTTGAAAACTTCTTCATAATGGTACCAAGCTGTTTGATGCCAAGCTGCATTTGCATATCTCATCAGATGTTAAAAGAAAGATAAACCCTATACAGGATTTGTAAATCCCCAGGCACAGATTTAAAAGTGAACTCTTGAAAAGTCTGCCTTGCTTATCTTAATGAGGTAAAGGAAGTGAGCTCTTGCAAGGAAGTCTCTTTTGCATGGCAGTCCTGCAGGGTTTAACAGCACTTAAGCAGAAGGGAGGGCCTGTTTTATCAGCAACAACAGCGCTGTGCTTGCCAAAGGAGAACCGGTAATAATTCTGCCATGAGAATTATTTATTTACTTGATTTTATTCATCGTTTTTATTTATCCCACCCTTCCACCAAGGAGCCCAGGATATTGCAAATGGTTCTCCCACTCCCCAGTGTGTCTTCACAACAACCCTTCAAGGTAGGTGAGGCTGAGAGACAATAACTGGCCCAGATGACCCAGTGAGCTTCATGGCCTTCTCAGTAGTGGCTCCCGCCTGTGGAACACCCTCACATCAGATGTCAAGGAAATAAACAACTATCTGGCATTTAGAATACATCTGAAGGCAACCCTGTATCAGGAAAATTTTTAATGTCTAATGTTTTACCAATTTTTAATGTGTTGTAAGTCACCCAGAGTGGCTGGGAAAACCCTGCCAGATGGGCGGAGTATAAATTTAAAATTTTTCATTATTATTATTATGGCTGAGCAGGGACTGGAACCCAAATCTCCCAAGATCCCTAGTCCGACACTCTAATAAAGGTAAAAGGTAAAGGACTCCTGGGCGGTTAAGTCCGGTTAAAGGCGACTATGGGGATGTGGCGCTCATCTCGCTTTCAGGCCAAGGAAGCTGGCGTTTGTCCACAGACAGCTTTCTCAGTGGCGTAGCGTGGGGGGTGCAGGGGGGGCCCGGCCGCACCGGCCGCAACATCTGGGGTTAGGGCAAATCCACGGGTTAGGGGGCGCAAATCCACGGGTAGGGGGCGCAAATCCACGGGTTAGGGGGCGCAAATTACTTGCCTTGCCCCGGGTGCTGACAACCCACGCTACGCCACTGAGCTTTCTGGGTCATGTGGCCAGCATGACTAAACCGCTTCTGGCACAATCAAACACTGTGACAGAAACCAGAGTGCACGGAAACACCATTTACCTTCCCGTCGCAGCAGTACCTATTTATCTACTGGGAGTGGTGTGCTTTCGAACTGCTAGGTTGGCAAGAGCTGGGACAGAGCAATGGGACCTCACCCGTCATGGGAATTCAAACCGCTGACCCAAGAGGCTCTGTGGTTTAGACTACAGTTCCACCCATGTCCCTATTCTAATTAATACCGCATACTGGCTCAGATGCAGCAATGCCTGCCTTGTCTTAATATAACCCAGAAACATACAGTGGTAGAGTGAACACTTATATGTATTCAATATACCAAAAGTATGACATTAAGAATAAACAGTGGCGTAGCGTGGGGGGTGCAGGGGGGGCCAGCCGCACTGGGCGCAACATCTGGGGTTAGGGCAAATCCACAGGTTAGGGGGCGCAAATCCACGGGTTAGGGGGCACAAATTACTTGCCTTGCCCCGGGTGCTGACAACCCACGCTACACCACTGAGAATAAATGTTAACAATAAAAATGTGCTAGCAAGCCAATTGCAAAAAAAGGTTACAGGAATGCTTCACAACTGCAAAATTATTTCTACGTTGATCAGGTTCTTTCAAGAGTTCTTAATCACAAGCATAACCTAAGTAGGCTCCACTGCTGAGTTCACTACTAGGTTAAGGTTTTAAAACATTAGCTCAATGCAGAGACGCCAGAGAAGTTTGTGGCACAGCCGCATTGCCAGAAAAGTTCCTCTTAATATTCCCTGAGATCATCTACAAAGAAGGGACTAGCTCAGGGCATTTAACACCTGCGGAAAAGGGCAATTAGGGGTGTGTGGGGCCCCACCCCCCATCCCATTCAATGTGCAGAAGCCAAAACAACTGGCAGTCGAATCTTACTTCAGCACTGACAACCAGACCTCATCCCTGCACTGAGCACAGCAGCTCAGTTTAGGGAGCACAGGGCAGGACACACAAATCTTTCCATCCTCCAATACCTCACCAGAGCTTGCTCAGTGCCTGCTTGCTGCACACTCAAACAAATGCTCCATGCAGCAGCAGCAGCACCAGAGTGCATCGTAAGAGCAAAGCATTGCAGATGCACTAGGGATGGGTGACTTTATCAGCTTCACTTTCCCTCAGTTTTTCATTTTCCCAGTCTTAAGTTCAGTTCTGCATATTTCCACATCCATTTGCAAATTTTTAAAGAAAAGTCCAGGCACCGAGAGAGGGGGCTCCCCACTCATTTTTTTTCTGGCACAGAGCCACTTCCTTTGTTACCTTGATGGCCCATGCTTAGGGGGCCATTACCAAGAAGCTGGCCCGGCTATTCTAGCAATTGAATCCTCCATTCGATTTTAGCCCTTGCTGGATTCAGGAATTAGAAGGGACTCAGGCATACAGCCTAACCTCATCCCCAACTCGCAATGCTACATATTTTTGCAAAGCAATTTGCTCTAGAATATGCATTTTTGCATGTCATTTTCACTAATATATATTCATTTCTAGGCATACTTTACCCCAATCAATGCATTTCTGTACACATTACCTGGCTGGAAAACAGCATTGAAAAACTGAGAGAACTGCGAATTTTGAAGAACGACTGTTTTGTTTCTTGTATTGTTCCAGTAAGCACAAATTAGGTAAGCTTACCTTTAAAAGTGAACTTGATTTAATTTCTCCCCCATCCCTAATGTACACCCAGAATTCCTTCTGAGATGCATGTCCACTTACTTTCCCAACAGTGCTGTCTACAATGTAGTAGACAGTGTTCTTCATCCTTGGGTGCCCAGATGTTATTGGACTACAACTCCCATCATCCCTCACCAGATGACGAAGATGAAGATGAAGTTGATACCCTTCCTTTTGCCCTGATGGGACTCAAGATAGCTTCCAGCTCAGCCAGTAGCATGGATGATGGGAGTTGTAGTCCATCAACATCTGGAGACCAAGCATTGAAGAATACTGTAATAGAAGACAATAACTGGGCTAGCCTGCCCAGGCTAGCAACAAGCAGGCATCACTGCTGCTAGGAGGATGGGAACGACTGATGGGGGACATGTCTCCCCGACCCAAGCTTCCACAGTCTGCCTAATGGTGGGGCCAGCCTTGTGGCTGGAAGGTGGAGGAAGTGGAGGTGGTACTTACATTTCAGCATTTCCATCCAATGGGTCATTCACCGTCTTCTGAACTCATCTCCTAAGGATGCAATGAAATACACGGCCTCAGCTGTGTAGCATAGGAAGCTGGAGTCATGTCATTTACCCAGCTTCTTCGTCTTCTTGCACCATTGCTTTTTGGGTCATCATGGGAAAATTCAAGTCTGCTTTGCCTTGATGGACATTGGGAGGGCCAACACGCTCAACAGAAGTGGAGATTATACAGAACATCTCAGGGGAAAGCTGGAGGGTCATCCCACCGCCCTGACCCACCCACCTCCCCCCGCCCTCTGCTGTGGTAATACAGTCTATCCATGCAGTGTGCTGCTCTGAAGCTAGTAAAAGCTTTCAATGCAGGCTGGGGAGTAAATGGATTTAAAATGAAGTGCCTTAGGACAATTCACAACACAGATTTGTTTTCTATCACATCATACAATCTTGGGTCTTAAGTGCTCCAGTGAGGGAAAAGGAAAAATAGAAAGACATATAGCCAACAGAAAGCAACAATCAGACTGCTGTTTATGTGCATACTGAAACCAAAGCGAGTATCCCTGGGCAACTTAAAGATTGGTGGGGTCTCACTAGCACCATATTTTGTGGCCTGCCTAGTTGCCTTATATAAGCAAAGTAAAAATGCAATTTTAAGCTTAAAGAAAGGGGAGAAGAAGCACTCTGTCCAATGGTAGGGCTGGCCGTGCCAGTCTTCCCTGAATCTAGCTCTAGATCTGCCTTGCCTACTCCCCTCCTTACTTTGGGTTTCATTTTCAGCTCCTATATTTCTGATCCCTTGAAAATGCCTGCTCCTCAACCCCACTGGGCAGCTAGGCTCCAGATCTTCCTGAAGGAACATTAAAGTGTTGCCTGATGTTCTCTCTGTGCATGTTAAAGGAGCACCTTCTCCCATCGGCAGGCCTTTGCTTCCTTTACAGGCGGTGCCTGAGACAGCCCACAGACTATGCCACCAGTTGGAAACATTTCCTTCCCAGTCAATCTGTCAGAACAGCAGGTTCCTCACAGCACCCACCTGAGATCCGTATCCTTCCCAGCATGCAGCTGGCGAGGGCAAATGAAGCCGAGAGGAAATGGCAAGGGCTTTAGCAACATGATGGATATGGCCCAATAACTGTTCTGTCATTTCCTTTCCCATAACTACTACAAGAAAAAAAGAAGACAGCACAATTTAGGTGGCAAGAAAGAGAAGGGCAGAGCAGTATTTCAAAGCAAAAGGTCTGCTGTAAAATTAGAATTCCAGGGACCAAATATCAAGGCAGTGTAAACACACTCAGGGGCTTAAATATAATAAACCCAGATGGGATTCTATAACCTAGTGAACATTAGAAGCTTTTGATCCCTTAATTCAATCTTGTGGCATGAAATATATATATGAGTTTCCTTTCCCTTAACAACAGTACAACAGCATGGCAGGTACGAGAAGGGATTAAACAGCCCAAAAGCCTCACACCACAACCCCTTTTGAAAATTGCAAATGTGAAAGAAGAAAGCGAGAGGGGGAGAGGAAAAACAACAACTTGAGCTCCCATTAAAAATAAGAAAAATCCATCAATCCTATTTAAACACATATAAGCCATCCAAATAGGTGTTCAAACAAGATAGTTGATTATAAGATGTGGAAAGGACAGGGAAATCTTGAGACGCCTGAGTGGTTATATTCTTCCAGCCTTGACGGGTAAGTCTGAGAGGGCTCACAGGATCCATAGGAACTTAGGAAGCTGCCTTAAACTGACTCAGACCATTGGGTCCATCTTGATAGCTCAGCTGGTTAGAGTGTGGCGCTGATAACACCAAAGTTGCAGGTTCAATCCCTGTATGGGAAGGCTACATATTCCTGCATTTCAGGGGGTTGGACTAGATGACCCTCAGGGTCCCTTCCAAATCTAGAATTCTATGAATCTATGAGCGCAATATTTTTTTCTACCCTGACTGGCAGCCGTTCTCCAGGGTTTTACAGACAGTGTTCTCTCTCAGCTCTCTGAGCTTACGGCCCTTCCCCACTTTTGCTATACATCTCTTAGTCCCCACCATGCAGGAATATTGTTTGTGGCTCATTCCACATCACAACCTCTCCCTATTACTTCTGCAGTGGTTTTTGTTCAGCTTAAAAGGGGGGGGGAATGGTCAAGGTGATGAAGCAACTCCTCCCAATGGGGAAAGGTTGCACCATTTGGGACTTTTCCGTTTAGAGGAAATGTAAGAAGTGACATGATAGAAGTTTATTATTCATGGCATGGAAAGAGAAAAGTTTTTTTCTCCCTCCTTCTTATAACACTAGAACTCCAATGAAGCTGAATTGCGCCAGGCAAAAACATTCCTTTTCTCTTTGGCCTTTGGCTAATTAAACAACCCATGGCCTTTTAAACTGCTTTTGTTTGTTATTATGGTATGTATTTTTGTGCTTTTATGTTGTAAATGGCCCTGTGATCCTCGGATGAAGGACGGTATAAAATTTTTAACAACAACAACAATTCAGGATACATAAAAGAAAGCAGGTCTGGAAGGTTCTGCCTGCTTTGCTAAGCTTAGGTTGTCATGGTAGATAGGTCAAGTCGAGGCCCTGTTTGCGTCTCCATGGCTCAAGTTATTTATTTTGGATTTATTTTTTACACCGCCTCACTCTTGGCTCAAGCGGAGCTCCCGTGGAAACGAAAAACAACTGGAAAATAAAAACATAGACAGGCCCTTGTCCTGGCTGGCAATACAAGAGGAGCCTTGCTGGATCACCCCAAAGGCCGATTTAGTCCAGTAACGTTTTCTCCCCCGTAGATCTGTGGCAGCTAAATGTAAAAATGGTAGCTCCGTCCTTAATATCTTCACTCTAGAAACTAATTTCTATCGGGCTTATTTTTATTTTAACTGCGAAGGAAAATATCCTCCAGTAACGGAACAGAAGTGAAATCACAAGAACTTTACTGCCATCTGCTGGACACAATGATAGAATTCTGTGCACCTCCAACAAATTTTAATATTACAGTACAGTGGTACCTCGGGTTACATACGCTTCAGGTTACATAGGCTTCAGGTTACAGACTCCACTAACCCAGAAATAGTGCTTCAGGTTAAGAACTTTGCTTCAGGATGAGAACAGAAACCGGAACGAATTAAGTACTTAACCCGAGGTACCACTGTATTACGTATTATTCATCTCGGGGCCTATGCGCACCAAGTTGAATGTCACACTTTGCATCTATCTGATTGCAAACACCTATGTTTTCGGAAGTGGAGTGCTGGGTGGAGTGGGAGGCAAACCAATGGTAAAGATTTTCCAAGTTTGCAGAGTAAAAGAATGTCCCTATTTTCATCAGATAAATGTTGCAGGGTATGGTAAAGGTAAAGGGACCCCTGACCATTAGGTCCAGTCCTGAATGACTCTGGGGTTGTGGTGCTCATCTCGCTTTACTGGCCGAGGGAGCCGCCGTTTGTCCGCAGACAGCTTCCAGGTCATGTGGCCAGCGTGACTAAGCCGCTTCTGGCAAACCGGAACAGCGCACGGAAACTCCATTTTCCTTCCTGCCAGAGTGGTACCTATTTATCTACTTGCACTTTGACGTACTTTTGAACTGCTAGATTAGCAGGAGCAGGGACCGAGCAACGGGAGCTCACCCAGTCGCGGGGATTCAAACCTACTCCCGAGCCATCTAAAGGCAGCCCTGTATAGGGAGTTTTTTATGTTTAATTATGTTTTAATATATGTTGGATGCTGCCCAGTGTGGCTGGGGCAACCCAGTAAGATGTGTGGGGTATAAATAGTAAAATGTTCATTACGGAATGGGACGTCCCTATTTTCATTGGAGAAATGTTGGAGGGTGTGAGGGAAGCAGCAACACACAGTCAGAATGAATGCTCAATAAAGACCAGGCATAGATTTGCCAACACATGCACTTCGTGCAAGCAAATCCGGATGAACGTTGAATTAATTTGAAAGTACAATGAGGCATGGCCAACCTGGAAGACTCTGCAGCTATTTGGTGGCCATTTATTACTTATATGTCTCATGATCCAAAAAACCCAAACACATATGTACCGAAGCACCTGGATGTTGTTTGGAATCACATGTAGCTTATCTCCCTGCTTATTTATGATTTCCCCTTCCTATTGAGTTCAATCTTTGTGTTTCAGTCTTGCTTATAGACAGATTTCATACACCAGCTGTATGCTACTATATCATCGATGAATAATCCCGTTCTTGCCCAGTTTTCCTTGGATCCTTTGTATCATGACCCGTATTACTCATGGTTCTTGTACCCTTATTACTTTTTATATTTGCATTCTTTATTAATAAAATAAAAGAAGGGTGAATGTTGAACAAACTGCTTGTATGGACTAGCCCTTAATATACTTCCGCCTCTGCAATTACATAGAAATCATTGTGACCCAGCTCCTAGCAAGTGACTCTGATCCCGAGAACACTTGGATAGGTTGATTCTCAACCAATTTCCCCCATCAGTTTACCTGTAAATTGCCTCAGGACGCCTCATAGGAAGCAATTCATAAACGAAATAAATTATTCTTATTTCAATGGGACTTAATCATAGTAATCTAAACCAACCTGTTTTTGAGGGAGGCAGGGATGTGTGTTGTGCTCCTTGAGGTATCACTTAAGCAAAAGCAACCATAGATGAAATCCTGGGCACGCTTATTTTGGCATAAACATGTAGATAGGAGTATATTTACGTGGGAGTAATCTTGTGCAGGGTTGCTTAGGAAATCAGCTACTGTTTTCTCTCTGACAAGAAGGAGCAAAATTACGTGACCTCAAAGATACAGCTCACTGGTGTGCAAATGATGATGATGATGATGATGTTATGGTGATGATTGTGATGATGGTGGTGGTGGTGGTGATGATGTGTTATTATTGTTATTCATTGTGTTGACAGCCCTTTCTGGTTAGATGCATTTTCTGTGATTGGCCAATTCTTTGTGACATTTCTGATTTTATATTTTTCTTTAGTGCAATTTTATATTTGCTGTACACAGCTTAGATATTTAATCCACTTTGTGTGTTCTACTGGGGTGACAGAGC